CATAGAAAAATAATGGTTTTGCCACTCACACACTTAAACAGAAGTGTTAAAGAGGACCTGCGATTGGATTGTAGCATGTTTGCTCACAAAAGTCGCATGTGTTCATATTTCTCTTCTGCAGAAACACGACGGGATTTTGAAGTTTTAGGAAAGGCTTGTATTGAGAAAAGAATAATGAACTTATTTAACCAAACGGATGGTTATAGATGACATGAAATATTTTCTCGTATCAAATCCTGTTTTGAATACTTTGGGAATTACTTATTCGTTGATATTTGTGCTCCTGAAAGATAGGAGAAACACAGATTCAGAGTGCACTATGAGAGTTCCTCAGCCCTTTCTCAGCATGCACACTTTAAATTTCATCAATTCAACCCGACGTAGTGCGCCTCTGAAAACACCCAGCTCCGACCGCAGTGAGGTAAAAATGTCTCTTCCGTCTGGGTTGATCTCAAGTCAGACCTCTTGATATTTGTTGCAGCTTGTTTTGCTGTGAGAATACTCTGTGTTTTTATTTATATATTTATTTTTGTTGTGCCAGCTGCCAGAGCAGCGGCTGAACTGCACACAAATACAGGGACGAGATCAGGGAGAGAGGAAACATGAAAAGGAAAACCAGCCTAATGCTCACATCTCTGAAAAATGTCCTATTGATGTCATATTTTTCAAAGCACATCCTTTATGTGGAAGATTGTTTGTAGTAGTCTAAGTCATTACAATAGAATAAGACAAGACATGGTTGATTTATGAAAGACTAAAATACTCTGTCTGTCCTAAACTCCACTCATGGTCCAATTCATCTGAGGTCACATTTATGGTTCTGCATTAGTTAAGTGATGCAGTAAATCAAGCTCATGGGGTGTTGTTATCTATGTTTCCTTACCTCTTATTGGTATTTCTGTCAGAGGAGGGATGCTGTGTATTCACAGAGCAGCTGTCAGGGAGGTCAAAGACATGACAAAGCCTCATGAGACCCTCCCATATATTTGTCTGTATCTGTGTCCCTCAATATGCCCTCCATTCCAGCACACACAAACACACGCTTTGCTCTTAAAGACAAATGCATCCTGTATTATTTACGTATAAATGACTCTGATCACTTTTTGAAATTTGTACTTGTGTATCACATTGATCTAACTTATCTGGGTTGGATACATGAGAAACTATTTTAGTTTTTTATGCGTTATTTTTTAAAAAGGTAACTGGACTTCTTGGACCTTTAAAACATTTCAAATAGGACAGTCCAAACAGCAGGTCAACAAGCACATAGGAGAGCCAGCACTTCAGGTCAAGATTCAGCAGTTCACCATCCCCTCAAAGATAAGGGAAGCACTATTGAGGACAGTAAGGCACACATTTTGGACAGAAAAGTCAGATAATATTCGAGAGGAGGAAAAAAATACCATCTATGTTGAACTGGAAGAATCCACTTTAAACATGGCGGGATCTCAAGTCTCCCCTTCCCAGCTCTTACAGTGCAGCACTGTTCCTCCCTCCAAGGGCAGATTCATAGCCATTCACATCTTCACCCTGTGCCCAAAACTCAGCCTTTCACACAGTTAGACAATCTACAGGTGAGAATAACGACCAATTAACAACCCTCTCTCATTATGAGATGATACTCCCAACCTTGTATCTTAGAACTCAAAAAGCCTCTTGGATGAAACAGGGGAGAAGTGGAGTTGCCTTTACTCAAGCTCTCAGGACGCTTTTTATTGATTTAGTATGAGAATTGCCACTTGTATCTTCCAGCAGCAGAAAGAGGTCAGCCAAACAGTTCTGCCCTGAGGGTGTGAGAGTTTCATTGCACTAGTCAAGGGCGTTTCAGTGGAAAATATGCATAGACATGTGTTCTGCTATCAGTTAAACTTATATCTGAACTTGTGAAAAGTGCACTGCCTATTCAGTAGGTTCCAACCCAAAGCAGACCCTGATGATCTACGAGTCCTCAGAGAATGAGCTGGACTGTGATGATCATAATCATCAGATGTGGCCTGAAGCGGTAGAAAAAGAGAGGCCGACCTGTTTTCCTACCATCCAGTCTCCTCTGCCTTCTCTGTCTTGTGAGAGAACACATTTGAGTCCAAGCAGCTCCAAGACACAAGTGCGTGTCGTTGATGCATGTTGACTCCATGATGAGCTGTACAGAGAAGAGTGTACCCAGTCACATGGTACACAGGGATGCAGAGAACATAACAGAGCAATGGGATCAAATGGCACATCTTCCTTGTCTTATCATTAAAACCAGTTAGACTAAGTTAGAAACTTTCGTTCACTTATTTTATTTTTGACAAATTTAGCATCTATGGAGTCCCCTTACATCTTACACAAAATCATAAATACACTCAATTATTCAGATGCTTTCCACATCAGGATCAAGATAGCTATTTGGCTAATATAAGATGTAGTTTTAGAGTTGATTATGAAAACAAGCTGCAGCCCAAAATACAGCAATCACCATCTGGTTTTGGGAGGTTTGTCATGGGAACAATAGACAGAAAAATAACCAATATATTACCCAGTGTGTTGTGATATGAAAACCGAAGACCATCTCTTTTGATTTATGCATTGATTGGTGGGCTTCCATTTTGAGTACAGTATAAGATACAAAAGTTAGTATTGCCCGTATAATGGAGACACGAAATCAGGATAATTATCAGGAATCTTTTCAAGCAAAAATCTAAAGAGGCAATTTCCTGCCTCGCTTAATATGTGTAGAACCTGCAGTCTGTCCTTCCACTGGGATTTACACTCAGAGAATATGGCAGCAATGAGCACATCTCTGCTTTAACAAGGTAAATGTTGCTATCAGTAATGCACACATACACATCTACCTCCCATGCTGTTCTCTATGACTAATCTGCTACAGAATCCCTTGGAGACATGAGTATGTGTGCATGTCTGCCTACAGTACATTCGTCTGCCTTTGTATCAAGTTCCCCGCTCATTATCTGAGCAGGTTCAGGGAGATGTGCGCTGATTTGCATTTGCAGGCCCAGTTCCAAGGCTGGAGGCTGCTGGAGATTCACACCAGCTTCTACAGTCTTATTTTTCAAGGTTTAGATAAAAATGAATCAATCACAGACATCACCTGACCCGTAGGAAGTTGAGCCAGGTGATAGTGTTAACTATGGAGCATCCAACTTCTCTCTTTGTTTCCTTACCAGAAAGAATAACACTTTATGTTGCAAAGCCATCACACTATAGGTATTTCAATTTTCGATATTCTAAAAGCACTTACACATCAGGAGGCAGATTAGCATGAACATAAAAACTCACCATACATGACTTGTCAGGTTGGCATTGGTTATATAGGTGTTTAAAAGAATCTAGTTGTCTTTGTTTAAATTCCTTTCTTCAACTCAAACACTACAGCTGCCATTTCTTTCACAATGTTAGGTAGTGAAATATGATAACCACAAACTGCTCCTTACAGCCAGATGATCTGCTTTCCCCAGCCCTCACAACATAACAGGAAATGTACGCCGATGAAGAGGTTCAGAGAAGTTGCAAGGAGAGAGCGGGGCAAAGTCGATAGTGACTTTCAGCGCCAGGGGAGGAAGACTGCCTTCTGTCATCAGCTGTTCACGATAAACATAAGGCCTTCTCTCACGAGATCAGGTCACAAATTGCGCGACTACTGTATGGTACTTGTTAATGGCTTCATTAATCTGAAAGCAATGGCATTCAGTCTTTCAGACGTTGTCACGGTGCCATTAATTTTACTCATGGCTCCATTCATGCCTGTAAACGGAATGAAAGAGCGCCTTTTGGAGTCACAGCTTTCTCACAATGTGCCACATCACCATAGCAACACATCTTAAAGTGTCAAGAGGGCAGTGGTTGTGTGAGGTACACAACCACTGCCCTCTCACCTGAACACATGCATGAGGACGCAGTGCCCACACAGTCACTGCTGTTTCTCACGGGAAACCAATCAAACTCACACACTTAGAAACTCCGTAAGTCGTACAAGTACATAATGTACTGCCTACATAAGAGACAAGCTGTATAATTTTGAAATTATCCAGATATTTCTTGTATTTTTAAACTGAACATACTAGCAGAGAGGACCCAGCATACCATTGGCCAGTAACTTTTATTTGCTGATATTCATTCTCCCTACCAACTTTCTGGGAGTTGGACAAACCGATATCCTGGTGTGGATTCTAAAGTTATCCTGGAAAAAATCTTCACGGTGACCTTTCGGAGGTTCTTTGGAGTGAAAAACACATAAATCAGTTTGGTTTTGATGGATGTGGGGCGTTGACACAGAATCTGTTGTCAAACTATTTTGGTCATATATTCCACAGTTGCATCTCACACTCAAACATTAATCTGTCACTTTGCTATCAGTCATAACTGAGACCAGCTCATGTAACGATCTCTTCCTCCCTTCAGCTGTCCAGCAACTGCTCCCTCAGAAAGCTTGTGTCCGGGCAGTCCCCAGTGAAGTCTATGAAGCAAAATTATGCAAGACGAACGCCCTCTCTAGAGGAAATATGTTCTAATATTTATAAACTTTTCACTTTTTACACACACCACTGGAGAGTGAAAATGTTGACACATCGATGTGGATTGTAATGCAGCTTTAATGGATCATATGGGAGGGCTGATATTCATTTTAAAGTGTGAAAAACTGTGTTGTGTCAGCAACGTGAAGGCATTTTACATCTCACTCCAAATTCCTACAAGACTTATTCCTCTTTGTGCTGACAGTCTTAAAGTGGTTGCAGTGGTCAGATTTTGGATTTTAATGTGGGGCGGACGAGCAGAGAGAGTTTCAGTATTGACGATGAATGTTTTGAGCTGGTGTCATGCTTCTGCAGGAATTAAAACATATTAAATGGCCACCTCATAAAGTGTAAGATAGTAGGTTCTGGTTTTCAGGATTTAATGTGTTCGGCTGTGGAAAAAAATTCATGTTACCTTTGTGATGATTTTCTAACAGGAAATCTTAGTCTGACTTTCAATTTGTGTTTCTGTCTTGTCGTCTGTCTTTGCAGGAGAGGAAGTTATGTGCCTTCCCCGTTATTGAGATCTACACATCAGATGTCATGAGCTATATGGCTCCACTCTCTGACCAAACAGACTTCTTTGTCCCAGAAATGAAAGAGGACGTCAAATCAGATGTAAAAGATGACAATTCTGACGAAGACAGAGGAACTGACATTACAGGTAAAGTTTTGGAGGCTGACAAAGCTTCCACAATAACTAGCAAATCACATTCATAAAAGCAGCCTTTTGCAAAAAACAAAACAAAATATGAGCTTAACTTCACCAGAAAGTCTCGTTTAGTTTTTTTAAACCTAGAATTCCCATGCTTTACCCAGGAACCCTACCCTGCTCTGGACAGATTAGCTTTCTGCCATTAACTACCGTGGTGTTACAACCCACTGAAAAGTGAAGCAGCATGATTTGTCATTTAGAAAGGCCGTGACTGAAACAGGATTTCCACTCACACAGCCACTCGTCCCGCTTTGTAGTGCAGCCTTTTGGTGTACCGAGCTCTCCTTTAACCACACCCAATATTACATCACTTGACATAATTTTTTATAGTATTTTTTCAGGGTCCGTAGTGTCAGGTGATTGCACTATAACAAAGGTTGGTGATGAAAACACCAACGCAGGGCCGCGTTTTTTTTTTTTTTTTGTCCTTTAACTTGAATCAGATAGAAGCAGTCAAAGAGGAAATATGTGACAATTTTATTTGGTCTGACACCACATCAACTTCTATCCTGCTCCTGATAGCTGTGAACGTGTTATATATGAGTCTCTGTAATTGTTCTGTCATTACAAGTATGTGTTTTCAAGCGCAAAGTCTTCTGTGCTTCCATCACTCTTTCAGACTTGTTTAACTCATCTGTTGGCACAATGACAGTATTGACTGAGTCAGTGCACAAATCACAGGAGAAAGAAAATGTTGTTTTCAGGACAGGGTGGGGGGAGCCGGGCTGATACCTTCTGCTTTAGTCTTAAATCTTTTGTCGTCCCATCTAAACACAAGGAGAAGGTTTTATGTGATCCGTGCAAGTCGGTAAGTTTAACTCATCATGTTTAAACTGGTGTCTCTGTAGGCTAACTACAACTTTTAATTAGTTTTTATCAGCATCACAAGACAGAAATAATTTTATCTAGATCTCCACAGCCTTGCTACTTACAATGAAAGAGATAAAGGTAAAATCTGTCCTACTAAATAACACTGCAGGCCTTCGGAAATGTATTTTGGACCTTAAACTTTCTGTTTAAGGTCACTAATTAACATGTTTGAATTGCACAAATGGAAATTTGGCATTTACTTTATAGAAGGAGGCAGTATTTTATAACGTCAGTATAAAGTCAGGATTAGCCATGAGTGGACTCATGGCTGTAGGTGCTGACATAAAGATGTGTCCAAGCAAGCTAGATGTGTTTCAGCATGAAAAAAATTATCTGGAGGCAAAAAGAATCTTCTGTATAAAGACACAAACAATCTGGAGAGCTCCAAGCTAAGTCAGAAGCTCATCTGAAACATATAGTCAAAAACAATTCCCCAGATGCAGCTGGTGTGTCCAAAAATATGGTGATGAGGAAAAGAAGTAAAGGATTATTTAGTTTATTCTGTTTGTAGATGTGTAAAAAGGTTTGTCTGACAGATTTATTTTGAAGAACATTATGAAATAGAAATGTATGTCTTTGATATTGTTAATGATGTTCTGGAATTATTGGGATTCTAACATTGAAACACATGAGTGTGAGAAGGAGCTACTGTGTGTTAATGCGATGGTGGGTAGAACCTACAGGAGTTGTGTTTATCAGATAGATTCATGACTGCTTCTTTGTGTGTTTAGTGTAAGGGGGCATTTAACAGGCGTGTAAAATCTAAAAATTACAGTGTGTTTTATGGTTATATTAGATTATAAGTTTTATATTAGAAGACAGACCAACCAGGAGACTTTAGCTCAATTTAACAAGCCAACTCTGGAAATCTCACTTGCTCACTACAAGCTGGAAAAGTGCCATCCCTCAGTCATTATGCCATAGACCTTTCTGACTTTAAACTTGTGCCAGCTTCTACCAGAGAGCAGTAAACACACAAAGTAATTGAAAAGACTTTTGGTGATGACAGCACTCACTGATGTGCCAGAGGAAACTCGTTAAACCTTTGGGGAAAGAGAACAGCCCTCTTGTAAAACAAGCCCTTTGGGAAACATTTTGGGTCCCATTTATTGCTCATATTTGCCTTAATAGAGATGAAGCTAAGGTACCAAACAATCTTGCAAAACACAGCATTGTGATTAGATAGTGCTATTGCGTACATACTTCAACTTAATGTTTGCAAATTGAAATAACTGCAAAAAAACAGCCGCTATGACAGTTTGATCTGGTGCTGTCAAAAGCAGGGCTGGAAGTACCAATGGGAAACGTGCATTTCTGCTGATTATGGCACCCCCAGTGAGTCCGCACGCATCAGGTTTGATGTCATTAAAGGCACCGTGTTGAAATACGATTTCATTTTCTTGTTTATCAGCAACAGCGGGGATCTTTATCGGGAGTCGTAAAATCCACCCGATAAATCCTTTCAGGCTTTGACTGAAGCTCATCTGTGCTAATTTTGGCGAAGATTGGAAAAAGATTGTTTTCAGTGAAAAAACGTTTAAATAAATTGAACCGAATCGGGTTTAACACACTGTGACACAGTGCTCTGATTTATACTATTATTACCACTCTAATTCCACAACAGCTGTTATCTGAAAGAAGAGTGACAGCTCTGAGCCCACCGTGTGCTAGTTTGAGGACTGGATGTAAAGTCTAATGCATAGCTATTTTGCAGGCCCCTCGGGCAAGTGGCTGATAGGTTTTACTTGCCCAGCAGCCAAACTTAATTGAAAGATAATTAAGTTACCCCTAACTTTTCTCAAGTATGCCACAAAGTTAAATCTATTTGTATTTAGATGTTGCGACTATTCTGAAAAAAAATTAATCTGGAAAAATCTAAATCTTATATATAAGACTTGCTGTGTTGATGGCCTGTGTCAGTTTGTGACAAAGACAAAGATGACAAAGTCTCTTTTTTTTTTAAAGAGAAGGAATGGAATTTTCTTCACATTATTTGACCAGATTTCAAAGCCTTTTTACTTTACAGTTAAAGGGGCTGCATGAGACTTTGACGACAGGGAAAAAAGCCGTGCAACAAAGGTGAGAAGACTGCACATTCCTCAAGGAAGAAACAAGATGATCCATCATCTCTGTCATTTTAAAGTCCATTTATCCAAACATGTCAGTTTTTCTTACATCCCACTGAGACCAATTGTGTAAACTATGAGCTCGTCTCAGCTGCGTCTTTGTCTAATTGCTTCCTTAAAGATATCTGTCCTATGAGTCACACAATTTATAGAACAAGACTTGGATTTGCTGCAAATACTCCCAATGGGCCCAAATGAGCTACTAATTTAGGCAAATGTTATCTAATATTATTCCCAAGCTTCGCACTGATTTTCAGAGTTGCTGCCATCTGTAGTGGAAATGACAGTTGTCCAGCATCCCGCTGAATCCAACTGCTCTAAATAGCCACATTATTACCCGAGGAATTTCCTTAGATTAGAATTTTCTTGAAATTCCTTATACTGTGAAACTATTCTCCGTGGAAAATTTCGCTGTGACGTGTAAATAGAATTTAATACCATGTATGTTTATTTAAAACCAAGTGCGACATGTCAAATCACTTTCACACCATCTCTGTTCCACTGAGGATCTTTCCCACTGGTTTTGCATGGACTTGCTAGCTAATCAACAGACCCACGAACAGAGATCATCCATAACCTAAGCAGACCTCTCATGTATTATACTCTGCACTGCAGACAGGATCGGATTTGTTGGATGTGATAATTAGACTGCTGAGATTCAAATGAATGCAGAGAAATGGCTGACCTGAGGGAGCAACTAACAGACCCTTTGTTTGTTGTATTTTGGTCCCTGATGACACATTTATCTCCAAGCCACAGAAATGTTCGCATGATGCTTATTTGGAGTGTGAAAGCTGGACAGTGATATACACAGTGGAGATTCAGTGTCCAGTGGGATAGTTGAGTCAAGTCAGATTTGATCTGTAGAGCACATTTAATCTGAGGCAAATCATTCTGCTTAACAGAAACGAAAGGGGTGCGTTGTGCATGTTATAGAACACGGCAATAAAGGAGTAATTCACAGTACAAGAGATATAAACACAAAATTGTCATTCAACCAAAATGTTGTTCAGGCATGCAGTTGTAATTTATAAATTCAGCTTTTCAGTGGGTTTTGTTAACACTTTTTTCATCCTGTTCTCACTTCGAGGACACCGACTGCAGTGATACCACTCAGTGATGTTTGTTGTGTAGGTGGCAGCTATGCCGTCTTCTTGCATTCAGCAGCTCTATCACCCACTTTAATATCACTTGTAATTTTAAGGAGGACGCAGAATCTTTCATTTGTGGCACTTCTTCATTTGAGTCTGTTGGTATCTGTGCTGACCTTGGATTGTTGGACAGAGTTTAGTTCACCCCTCAGCTTCTTTATCCTGGGCTACTTATGTGCGTTACAACAATAATATTCGGGGGAGCTCACACTAAAGGGCCTGAAGTGAGGGATAATGATCGTGTCACAGTGACTCATAGATCAAAGGCCAATTAGATTCAAGTTGAGACGGAGATAATTTGTAAACCATTCAAGTCGGCGAGGAAATCTCCATCAATTACGCAAATGGATGCTCGCCATGATTACAGATGTACAATGTGCCACAGCCTCCATCAGGAGGAGCATTTCCTTTCTGTAAAGACAAAGTCCAATGCAGCACATCAAACACTTGATGATTTGATTCCATATTAATATGTAAATCTGTGAAATTACCTAAAATATTTTTTTTTATGTGTTTAGCAGTAGCGGTCTGCTTTCAGCTAAAAAGTACTTTTTTTTCCTGAACTATATCGGATGAGTTAGAAGTGACTAAGTCGTTTCATAATGCCACCATTAACTTCCTCATCTCAGATCAAAGGATGGCACAGTTAATGCGTACACTCGCTGTCCTCACAGCCTTGAATCATTAGCTTATGAAGCATGGTTTCAATGCATTAACCCATTTATGGAAATATTAAGCTCTCTAGTCACGTTAATGGATTTTCCTGAGACAGTTTAGCCAGTTGCATGACTTTATAGACTCAAATATTTGAACAAATTAACGATCAGGCCCAAAACAGAGGATGCCTAATAAATTCCCAACTTATCCTGTGGGTTCACAGCTCAGTTTACACATGTGCATGACAGATGAGCACACATCCATAGCTCGCCACGCTCCTGGACTGATTACTACGGTTATATGTTGTTAGTTTCTCACAGATTTCTCGCACTCAACTGCAGGTGCAGATTCCCACAGTGATGTGAGTTCGGGGAGTGGCGGCGCGCCGTGGGACAGCAGGGAAACATCCCTGGCAGCGTCCACGGCTGCCTCCCTGGCCTCCTCTCTGCCCCTGAGGGACGTAATGGACACAAACGAAGAAGACAGGCATATGGACCAAGGTGACGGAAGCTCGAACGAGTCCCTGGGCAGCGGCTCGTCTTTTGAGGAGCTCGACATGGAGCAGGAGCAGCTTGAGGAGAAGTACGACGACGAGGACATCCCCGAGGCGGGAAATGGAGCTAAGGAAGCAGCCGAACTGTGGGCTGAGAAAAAGGAGCCCTTGGGAGGTGGAGAGGAGTAGGAAAGATGGTAAAGATGATAAGGGATGCAGCCATGTAACACTGGCGTGGAGGAGAGCTTCTCAGCTGGGCTGTTGTTGGTTGTCTGTCAAGAAATGTCGTGACCAACATATTTCTGCGCCTTCTAAATCTTTGTTTGAAGCCTATACTTTACATTTAACAGTAATCACAGTTTTTTAATAATTGATAATTCCTGATTATATATTTCATCTCAGAACAGCAATGAGTGGCTGAGCACACTATGTGCAGCAACTTAGAAATAAAACGTTTTGTTTGCATTGACACCAACTCTCCCGGACCATCACGGTGTATTTTGCTACAACGGTTGATATTTACCCTTTCTCACAGGGAGTTGTCATCAAGAAATGTATTTCACGTGTTTCCGAACATGACCTATCTTTATTGTTTGGATGACCAGTAATGATTGAGTGAAGACCTACAGGAGCTGCTGCCATACAGAGTAAACGGACCTGCTTCATTATGTGTTTAACACAACATCCTGAGGCGGTGAAACAGCTCGGTCTCATCACCAACACCACCTCTGGAACCTGAAGGAGACATCCCTTTGAAACTGTACAGAATATTTTATCGTCACTCTATGCTTGAATTATGGCTCTTTATGTAATGTTGTCTTTCTATACTTGATATGAAAACCCACTCTCCGCAGTTTCTGTTGTAGCCAAAATCCACTTTGTATCAGAGACCAGTCGTGACATGTCTGTTGGTTGGCATTGCTGATATTAGCAATACAGAAATGTATCCACACATTGTTTGTGTTTTCTCTGTGGAAAATAAAATTTTCAAATGCTAAGTTAATTCAATAGGAATGAGTTCTGCATTAATCAGTTTTCAGGGAGCATGTGCTGCCATCCAGATGGTATATTTTTTTTGAAAGGCCTTGGGTATTTCAGCAATGTATTGCTGAAACACAACAGAATTACTTAAAAAAAATACAAGAATCTGGTGCTGGACTGGCCTGCCTGCACTCCGGATGTCTCACCTGCATCATAAAACACGAAATATATGAAAGAAGAACCCCCTACTGCTGACCAGCTAGAATCATATAGACGATATAGGTGCAGCATAATTCTGCCAGAGGTTCATAAGCTCATCTCCTCAGTTCTCCACCATTTACAGAATGCTATTAAAAGAAGAGATCCAATACAAAATTAGGCATATACTAAATTTTTTAGGGACATCTAGCTGCCATCAAATTTAAGGTAAGTCAATATTTTTTGTTGAATAACCCTGTTGAAATTGGGGTTGCACTAGCGTATCTTTGCTTCACTGATGTCTGTTAAAAACACCACTTTTATATTTTCTAATTTGCAGCAAAAAGATTTCTCCTGAACTCAAGGGACAATCATCCATTTATACTTTGTTCCCCCAATGGAGACAGGCAGATGTGATTGTGTAGGTGGTAGTACTACACATTGTTGTTCAGGAGGCGTTGTTAAAGCAGTAAGTCTCTCACAAGTCATTAAGCTTGCTCTTAAAGGCTAACTGCTTTCAAGGTTTTACAATAGGATGATTGCAGAGCTGCTGCTTTGTTTGGGCACAGATATGAATACAGAAGCTGAATAACAGTGTTAAAGAAAAAGACTGACAGTGTTCAGTGCAAATTGAGCAAATTAAGGCACAGCTCTTCTGAAGACATTTGGCTGGCACATCTGAGCCAGGTACAAAATATAATGCATATGTACAGTTTAGATATCATTGGGACAACCAAACTAATTTAAACTAATTGAAACTGGTGTCATTTTGGTCACAAAGTCTTCTCTGCAATATGACAGTAGACGTGGCACTTTTATAGATTAACATGCCATCAGTGAAATGACGGAAAATGTCTTTCATGCTCTTCTTCTCTGAGATTTTAGAGATACAAAATAGACCTTTGTTACCCGTGCCCCTGGGAGGAAGGATTCAGCTGTGTTGTCTTAATGTAGACGCAAACCTGACGGGTGTGCATCGAAAGTGTGTTTGATGCTGAAACGTGAAAATAGAAATTCACCAATACACCATGATGCAAGTGATTATTGAACAAATCGGTATCTGTCTTGAAATCTTCATGTTGCTGAAGTTGTCCTGGACTGCCAAGTGTTTTATGTAATGCATTTTTTTAAATGATTGAAAACTACAAAGACCAGATGAAAACACTCTTGCAAACCAATAGTTCCCGTTTTCAATGATAAACACTCTCAAATGTCACAAAGATCCAAGTGAGATATTATGTTAAAGAAGGAAAGCCAGCAGAGTTTGGAACCAGTCTGTACCAGAGGTGACTGAGGCTGCTAATGGAAAAAGAAATATCTTAACATGGACGTGCTACTTTTAATCTTAATTTCTCCTTATTTAAGCACTAACTCCAGCTGATCAGAAGATTAATCAACATATCACTTTGTTTTTTAGTTTTTTTAAAACTGTCCCTCAACAAAGCCTTGGTACATTTGTTTTTGCATAGCTTGTTTGCAGAGGTGTGATGAGTCTGTAGGGACAGATGCCCTCACCGCACGTCTGTTGCTCTTTCAGTTTTAGCACTGGCACGCCGAACCTTTGTCCCGAGGCAAAAATGAAACTGGCTGTGGACGGAAGGCTGCGCTGACACAGTGGGCCATCAACTGATTTAATTAATCGTGAAACCCGCATGGGTGTCATGCAGCTTTGAGGGCATGAAGATTATTGCCCTCCCGTGATGTTAATTATTAATCTCATAACACTCTAAAGCCATAGACGGAGAAGTAGATGCTCCAGCGCACACATTTAGATGGGGACCAGAGCCTGATGTGGGCAGGAGAAGGGTCAGCTCATCCCGTCTGAGCGCGCGCGCCCTGCCATCTGGGACTGACCTCACACTTTTAACATCTCCTGTCACAACTTGCTTGCGGATGCCAAATAATAAATAAAAAAATTACACCCCTGACGATAATCAGTCTCCGGAGAATCGCTATTTTTAAATCAACTGTACCCTCCTCCGGGCCGATTCAAACAAAAAGAGGCGATTTTTAAACGTACTAATACTCAAACGCGAGATCCTCCTGAATAAACACTCGTTTCCATGCTGGAAATGTCATTCTGGTTTTGGCACCGCGGCGCAGTGCGCGCCCTGCACCCCCAGGACTTCTGCGTGAGGCAGGAGTAGACATCTCATCGCTGTCAGGCATCCTTTTTAACAAGAGAAAACACTGAGAAAGTTGAGGTGCGTTATACTCCAAAATATCGAATCGTATATGTGAAGATATTGCGCAGCTTGCCGGCGTAACAGGTTGAATTCAAACTTTGTGTTCGGTGACTCATTTTTTTCTGCGCTTAGTCTACGGCAGTTTATCTACATTTCATGTTTTCTTTCCGAGATTAGTCCTTAAACGAACGCATTCACATTTGTCTGTGTAGTGGACGCCCTTTGCGCGCAGAACGAAGATGTGGGGAACTGCTGAATTAGTTTCAAGCTCGCTGGGGAAGTGTGACTTCTGAAGCGCCAACAGCAGCATCAGACCTCCAGGAATCCGGCGGAGGCTGTGTGTGAGAGCGTGTGTGTGAGCGAGTGCGTGTGTGTGTGGTTGATGTTTTTCAGCACCACGGACAGCTCCTGGCGCGCGGCTCAGCTGTACGCGGCTCAAACTCACCTCCTTCCCTCCATCCGTCCATACAAGCCCTCAGTCCCAATTCCTTTAAGATTAAATCAAGATTTCAGGATATGCGCGAGGGTCATTTAGACATTTCTCTGCTCAGCTGCCCTGGAAACTGAGGCACCCTGCACAGGTAAGCCATCTCCATTGTTTTGCGCGTTGAATGAATGTTTTTTTTAGGGGGATTTCTCTGAACTTCAGTTTATGACTGTGTGAGAAGCTATACTCGGTGTGTTTCCTCAGACCTGACTTTGGTTTGGGACTGAGCTCACCTCTCACCATCGTTATGGTTTGCAGATTAAATCGGAAAATCATTGCGATTGTCATGTAAAATGAAGATGATCATTAATGCATGGTTTGCTAAAAAAAAAAAAAAAAAAAAAAAAAAAAAAATTTTTACAAAATTTTATTATTTTTTTATCGAATTTAACTTTGGCCCGCTTATAGTTCATTATGCTTTATTTAATTATTTATTACTATTTGTTGCTGCTACGCTCGGTCCAGCCATGTCTAATATCTGCGAAACAGTCCAAATGGGAATGGCTGCAGAGAAATACTAAGGAGAACTATATGGAACCCTTGCATTACCTGAATTTTCTGCTATCAAACGAGGGAAACATAGCCAAAACACGAATTTAAATACTCCGCTTGTGTTTCCATAGATGCGGATCTTTCAAATAGGGTAATTGTCACGTTCTGTCTCTGAATTGTCACAAGTGTAATGATTAATATGTTACTTATTACATATGGTGTTTCTAATTCCAATGCAATTTGTCATGATTTTTGCTATACCGTGTGTGTGGCTGACTAACATAGAGCTCTACAAACTATTTCCAACACGTGGAGAATAAGAACCACTAAGAACTAATACCTTGAACAAATATTTGGAGGCATCGCTGATGCTGGACAAAGCCATTAAAGGAGGTTAAATGTACCGTGGGTGTTGGATCCAGTCCCTGAGGCATTTATACTGCATGTACAGCAGATTTAAGAAAAAAAACTTCTCCCAGTATGCTTCAGTCAACTCATAGATTTATGTTGAAGCAAATAAATGGTCATCTGTTTAACCCACCATTGTTCTATGCAAGGCATGTTTTTCAATTTCTTACATAACAGAACATCGCAGGCATGCTGGTACAGGCTCACTGAAAACTAAGAAAGTGAAATGGTATGAGTTCAGCACTCATAGCTAAAGATGTTGATTATTTTAAATTATTCAGCTCAGGGCTGACTGGAGATGAACGTTCCCCACTGCCATGCGCTGAATCCAGATGAAAAGGTGGCAGCAGGGAGCAGGGGACCTCCAACCTGAGGCTCCCGAATGGTCGAGTCCTGTTTTCAGTTTGTTTCACCTTTTACCACCGTCTTGACATAGATATGGTTCAATGTGCCGTTATTCGAATCCCATCCCATCTTCTGAGAAAAGAATCCAGACCTGTAGATATCTGTAGATATGAAAAAAAACTATTTTACCTGAAAACAATTATTTAAAAAAGAAAAGAAAAGGTCTCCCTTTGAAGGTCTCGGGTGCTGCTGATTGCTAGGATCTGTGGATTTACTCAGACAGAAATCAATATGTTGTTGGCAACTCAGTTATCAGGAAAGCAGCACAGCTGAATGTTGCCATTCCTGCTCTCTAAATATAAGTTATGAGTTAGGAGACATCTGCATAGTTATCATCATTCAAACCTTTTACAACACACAGAGGATGTGTGACCTAACTGCCATCAGTTACTAAATTCCTGTGTTATGAATCCTCCTGCTGCTATCAAACATGACAGCTTAATCGCTTACTCTTTCTCATGGTCACGCAAATAGACAGGTACACACACACACACACACACACACACACACACACACACACGCGCACACACCCTCAGAGGCAGGTAGGGCAGATAGGTTGGATGTCTGCCAGCATCTTCTATGCAAATTCTCATTTACATTGTACATTCATAACATTTGACAACAGAAACATTTAGAATCCCTTTGCAATTTCTTTCATTTGCATTTGGTAAGCTCATACTCTGTCTGCACCTGTCCGACCAAGATAGCCATGAAAGACAACAAGTAACACAAAATCATTACAGAAGCAAACAACAACTTGAAATGGCTTCAGTGCTATCCATGTTTTGATTATATTGTAACAGGGCCTGTAAATACAATTGAACCGAAAATGCATATTTAGTATATCATCATGTATAATACCAATATATAGAAAATCAGCATGGTTGTATGGGCACCAGCACACAGGTATATACATGGTATATATCCATGGCTGTATGGTGGTGCCCATTTTCACAAAGATAGACAGACTGTTTAAATAAATAGTCAACTGAAGACAAGAAACAAACCAATTCACATCCTTCCACATCTTATGCAGATTGTTAACTGTTTAAAAAAGAGTTTGCGCTACAAAGAGCTTAAGCTTTACAAACGTTGTCAGTCCAATCAGTGTACAGAGACCCAGCCTCATTTGCTTCCATGACTTTAACACTGCAAAAGCAGAGACACAAACATAACCCTAGGAAGAAAATTCTCGTGTGACCTAGCGTGTCTTCTGAAAATCTAGCTGCCAAAGCACTTAAACTGACTAGTGGTGTAAAGTGTTGATAACGTATTGTTGGCAGTTAGCCAGGAGAAAGAAAAAAAAACTTCTTATTTAAAAAAAAAAACTCAAATAGATATTCCTACTTCAGTTTTCAATGAGCAAACATTCTGCTACTGAAATACAGGCGTCTAGTTGAAACTGCCATCAACAGGATGCTGGCTGGTCTCATCCTCCGTGAATTCGGCAGAAATGCAAGGTGTGCAGCCTGGAACATGTTGCTTCTTTGCAACCTCGATTTTTCGGGGGGGAGAAGATCATTTATGCAGCTACCAGGCTATTTGGTGAAAGGTGTCATGCTCTCAGCAATTAGACAGCTGCTTTTTTGGTAAGTTAAAGGGTCTGAGCAGTGCAAGTCGTGTCTCTTGGATTGGTACTACAGACTCTGATTAGCCCTTTTACACATTTTTACAAATGAGGAAAGTAAATGTAAATTTAAAGGGACAGTTTAAAATTTACATTTAACAGGTATTCATATGGAGGAAACAGAAGGCATGCACCACGTCTGCAGATGTAGATTATGAACGTCAAACTGAATGGTGGCTGCTGTATCACAGAATAGCTACTTTTAGCGGGTACGGTGCATTAGAGATAATTCTCTAAACAGTGATTACATAAAGTAGCTGTAAGCGTAAGTCCTACATTAATGGTTCCCTCCATAATGTTGGTTGTGTGATGGACATGCAGCTAGTCCACCGTGTGCTCTGCTTTACAATCACGCTGACCATTCTCAAGCCACTGTTTGCAATTTGAAGGATAAAGCTAACATTGTCATATATTTGTATCAATTTCCGGGCAAGGTTTGAAGAATGTTAGTTCCTTTATGAAAAGCTTTATTAAGTAAAACAATCTGTCTTTAACGGTCATCTCTCCATTAGCATAAAGCCAGACACCTGTTTTTTTGTTTGGTTTTAGCTTTCAAATTCTGCATGTTTAGCTCATGGCAGTCATACATTTAAACAAGTCTCCTTTTTTTATTGAGATACAATAAAGGTGTCATGTCATTTGTCCTATTTTGTTACATGATAGATGAGCTTAATGAATAAAGAATTAACACAACAGTCCAGGGCAGAAACGGACATTTATATTTTCTTGCATGGTGGAAATATTCAAAATAATTCAAAGTGCCTGAAGAGAACATGACTGTCCTCATACCAGGGCAGGGGCATAAATGAAGGGAAATTGAAGTAGCCACATGCAAGCAACTGTGCCTGCTTTTGCTTTTTTCAGTTCTATTTATATAAACAATAAAATGATGCAACGCAAAAGCAAATTGTGAGCTCTCATTTGGTCACTCGGACTAATTTGTCTAACTTAGGTTTTTCTCATTTATATTTCTGTCAAGTAAGACTACCTCTGAAACATCCTGCTTTTTTAGGCTACTTTCTTAAAAAAATAAGATTAAAAAAACATTGTAGTGGTTCAATGATGAATAATGCAAAGCCTCAATAAACCCCAGAAACAAAAGCAACTCACATCCATCTCTGTGCTTAAGTCAGTCGTAAGGTCGACCATAATGATCACTAAGAGACAAAAAGAGTGGATGCATGTTTGATGAGGGAGGCAGAACGGGGCTCCGGGGAGGGACCGCTGAACTCGAGGAAAGGATTCACCATCACATATGTATCGAGGAGATGGGTGAAAGGGGGGGTGTAAAGGTGTAGTTGAGCCAGAAAAATACAGTAAATTTTGGTAAGAAAAACAAAAAAAGCAGGATAGCGTATAAAGTATAAGGTGGATTACAAGGAGGTGAATGTGGGGCTCACTTGTCCTACCCTAAACTGAATGTATGCACTGGCTGAACGTGTGATATAACCGTGATATAAATGCCTCCAAATTATTGCAATTCTTCATCATTGGAGGCACAAACTTCAGTTTCCTCCTCATTCTTTAATTGGTAGTTTCAGAAATGGCCTTATCAGAAAAGGTCAGTGTTTATGTTTGTGGGAGACATTTAATGATTTTAATGGCGTAACTGTCAAATGAGACCTGTCAGTGGACTAACAGGCAGTTTGCAACAAGTGGATCATTTAACAGTGGAAAAGATCCATGGAAAGTTTCCTGTAAATGTCTCAGATTCAGTCTGAGTATTGTATGGTGTTGTTTGATATGGTATATTAGAAAATATAAACCCTCTCAGAAGCTGGATGGTCAGTCACAAGAGTAAGTGCTGACATTTACATTTCTAGCATTCATCAAATTAAAAATGTAAGTGTGGCTGAATATTATGTCCACCTCGTCCTGCTGTACGGATTTCACGGAGGCACGAGAAACAATGGTCTCTACTGGGAGAGGTACATAAGCCACAGAGTTAAGCGTTGAACTAAGTAAAAACAAATACCAAAACTTGTACCAAGCACAGACAAGATGTGAGGAGCCAGCACTTGGGTGCTAATTCCCTTGAATATGCAGAAAACAGCACACATATCCATGCTTTTTAACTTCAACACAAACACCACCTGGCAACAGGAGCAACAGGAGCTTCATGTCCGTCCATGTTTTTCCAGAAATGTAAACTGAAAAGGCTTTCCTGGAGCAGCCAGGTTTACTCTGAATGAAAAAAGTTCCCCATCACTGTTACCGTCCAGCCTTATAGCTCATCTGGACCATATAATGTTCAGTCCCACTATATGATTACAGGAGGGTGATTAGTTTAGAAATAAAAGTATATCCAACTTCTTTTAAGGGACATGCAGCTCACAGTTTGGAATTAATGGGTCTTTTTGGCCATAGACTAATTACATCACTGACCAATAAGTGACAGTTTAGCTGTTTCCACATTACCATGTTGACCTGGAGCTGGACATATTCCTTCTTGAAGAAAAGAGAATAGTTTTAGTCAGACTACAATGCTTAGAGGAATTTTAAGTTAACTTTTATTCATGTGCAAATGAATGAACAAATTCAAGTCCTCAGATTTGGACATTTTCCTGAACCTCCATAATATTGAACAGGTAGTTTTAGAGTAAGAGCTGTCTAACTTTACTGAATAAGATGAGATAAGATCAACTTTATTGATCCTGAGGGAACAGTGATCCGTATGTGAGACTGACTATTCTTACAGCATCAATGTTTAACATGCGGAAGCAATATGCTGAATCAGTTATGAGAAATTGGTTATTTTAAATGGCTTTTTGGTGTGTTGGACACAGCAATGGACTCGGCTACATTATCATTCAACTTGGCCTTAGTAATAGAGAATGGAAACTCAAACAGGAAATTGTAATATTTAAACATTGAGACACTGTAGTCAACATGTGGTTTTGCACAGCTGCACTTGGTTTTTAAATGTTTGCAAAAGGTAATGTGCATGTTTGAGGTTTGCACTAGACCATCCTCAGTCTTCCCCCACCTATGACCATTTTCTTTGTCAGCTGGAAATGCGATTTTCGGGAGGCCTGACTTCCATTACCTGTGCTTCCTCTCAGCGAGGCTCCGACTCATTTCACTGGGGATCTCCAACCTGCTCATCCAGGCTTAAGGCTGCATATACACTAGATGACCTCCACTCTTCAACACTTTCTATCGCCTGGGGGGACATTACCATATTAATGCTGCTCTCCAGTCCTGGAGAAAATGAGTGTCATAAAAAAATCAGCATCCTTCTCAAACCTTGCTGTTATTCCTTTTTCGCTGCTGCCCACTCGGCTATCCGCTCCTTTTTTTTTGTTCTTGCCCTCTCACATCTGCTATCTTTTCTTGTAATTTCTCTGCCTCCAATCCACCACCCCCTACCCACTCCCCCATTTCCTTACACAGTCTGGTTTGAAGTGTGTAAGAGGCTGGCAGGCTTTACTCTCTTGAATTAAAAAGGCCATCTGGAGAAGAGGGAAACTGAGATGGTTAGATAGGAGGAGAGAGAAAAACTGAGAGGCACAGATTTTCTTTGAAGTTGCCATGCAGACAGAATCCTTGGTGGGATACTACATCTGACATGTAAATACTGTTAGAAACTGTCATTAATACAAACACATGGCAATTGGGAATTGCATTGCACAGATCCCGTACATGAGAAAAATATTAGATTACCCAACAGTTAACTGGCAAGGACAAAACACACAACCATTATTTATTGTACAAACATAAGAGAGGCTTAAAAATGTTTATCTGCCATATTGCATGTAGTGACAAAAAGGCAGAAAAAAGCAGAATTTGCAAAATATTAAACCTTTAATTCTAATGTGATTTCAGTAAAAATGCTGAAAATATCCAGTAAATGTAAGTGGATGGTTAAAATGAGAAATTATGTAAAGGCAGATTTTTACAAAGGGTCTTCCTGCTGTGTCTCTGCTGGAGAGAATTGAGCAAACACAGAAATATTGAGTTTACTGGTGAGTTGAGGGCCCCTGTAAGAATGCAGCAGAATGAGGAGACTGACGGTGTTCCGGTCAGAAATCCTTTTGTCGCCACACTCTCCAGAGACTACAGACTTAAGTGCTGTGCAACTGCCGACAGGTTGTTGTTGTTGTTTTTTGCTTGTCTGACTGAAATTTCTTATTAAAAATAAACACATTTAAATTGCCATCTGTTTTTTTTTACCTGGGTGGCAATGTTTCACATGCTGCAGCACACAGCTCGACTCAGTACTAAAAATTTTTTTTGCTTTACAAGGTTTTATTCATTTGTTGTCACCGCTTTAATATGTGCGAGGAGTGGGTGATACTTCCCCTCTTGTGTGTTACCAACTGCAGTAGAGGTTCACTCGATTACAATTGGCTCTGGGAGTGAACGAGAAGTGTCAAATCCACACAATTATTTTGTGGAGTTATTTTGAAGTTCGACGGGCAGTCACTAAAAAAAGGAATTCTGCATGACACGTTAGTAGTTACAAAAATATTTATTGTTAGCCAGCAGGGCTAAGAAAGGGCTAAGAAAGCGAAACCTATGAGAACTTTATTGCTTAATCAAGAGATGGTTGTTGCCAAAAAGCAACAGCTTTGGCTGGGTTTTGTTCATTTGGTCAGCAAACAGTACAGACTTCCAAGTTCTCCCATAAGAACAGGCACCATGCATGATCACACTGGCCTTTTCGTCCTGGTCTGTCTTCCAGTTTCTCTTCATCCTCTACATCTCCTGGCAAGTTTCCATGGAAACAACAGTGGAAGTGAGATAGAGGGTATAGAGAGAGAAATCCCAAAGAATGTGATCTGCAGTCTGACTCCTGCTGAGATTGTTTTGGTAGGTGGATCTGTAAGACAGAAAGAAAGAAATATGGGTGTTAATATCCCTCTGCAGTGATTTCATAATCTCCCATCAATACAGTTAATTACTGCTTGTCAGCCTGCTTTACTTGTTAAAAAATGGATACGAGATGGCTCATTCTGCCTTGCTAATTTACCCAGATAAACCTCTCCCACATTCACCACTCTGCTTAATTAAGCCTCTGGGATTCATGGGACTGACACTTAAGTTTGCATGCACGAAACTTTGAGACTGTTAACAACCAAAACTGTTTACATTTAATACAAATAGAATATATGCAGAGGAGCTCGGCTCACAGTCCCATTTCTATTTTACCCTGGCAGTTCACCGCCATAAAAACATCCACTTACATAGAAACGTTTGTGCACTTGGATGTTCTCCATCAACACAAGCGCAGCCGCCATTACGCCAAATTGTCCTGCACAGCCGTGTCTATTTATAGCACCTGTTAACCTGTTTTTATTATGTTTCACATCTTTTAATGTCTGGAAGTCTCATTCAGTTTAAGAAAGTTTGACACAGGTTAAAAAATGAAAAGACAACACACACTTAGTAGCTGTGTATTGTAAGAACTTAGCTAAGAACAGTGAAAGAAACAAAAACGAACATGGAATAATATTCTAATTGATGGAAAATCTAGATGTATAAATGAATGGTACTCAAAGGAAGTGTGGGCTGTTGCCGAAAGAAGGAAATATGTTACAACATTAGGAACTCTGTAAAAATGTCTAAATTCATTGCACTAAGAAAAAATATAACAAATTCTTTCAGGGTTGTGGTTATACAAAACATGTTATACTCTAATACTGTTCCTAATCTGAAACAGCTCTGTGTTGATTCCCTTTTGATAACGTCATTTCCGGTTTTGGGCAAATACTGGAAGTTAAGCAAATTGCACATTTCGGTTTGGTGACATCACTTCTGGTTTAAATCCCAGTGGCGCAAATTTGTCTGCCCATGCACTGAAAGCAGCTGATTCTGGTCATAAATCATGACACCAAAGGTTCTAGCTACCCTTGTTGGAGCAAGAGTTCTTCAGTTTGGATGCAAACACTGTTGAAAAGATGTACTGATCCTAAAAGGCCAATCTGTCTGATTATTTTTGCAGTATGATGTTGCTGTCGTTCTTTTTTCAATATACAAGAAGCCATTGAGATCATCTTAGAGTCTTGTTTTTTCAAAAGAAGACAGTGACTGGCTTTATGACTCAAGGATAGATCTTGTTTTTTCACACAACACTCCAAATGTTTTACTTATTTTAATAAAGAGTGTTTTTTTATTTTGTTCTTTTATGAGAGAGAGCGGTTAATGTGCTTTGACAACATGTTCCTCTGGGCTACAGTTTGTTTTAACGGCAGAACTTCAAGAGTGCAAGCACTATGATTAAAGAGTTGTTCCATCTTCTGCATGAAAAAAGCAAATAAGGTCGCACATAATGAATGAGAGAATGGAGAAGAAGACCCTCAAATTATTACAGACAATAACTAAATTGTGCTGAGTAAGGGATTGGTGTTTTCTTCTTTTTTTTTCTGCCGAAAGACATGAGAACAAACCATTTTAGGGTTGTTTGTGTGTTTGTCGTCAGTGAACTCTGCACTAACAGTGAACTCTGTCCTCAAGGTTCTGCCACAACATATTAGCTGAATATGTCAAGATTATTCACAACACACAGTACACTGCCTCAAATATTCCATCTACATTTGAAGCACATGTTCAGGGTTACCAGTCAGCTTGATTTAAGAGAAAAAAACTAAAGAAATAAGCTCCACAAAAATAGTAATTTGCTATTTTGCTTCACTCCAGCTACACTAAGTTGTAGAAAATGAACCGTCTTTATTTTGTTTTGATTTTAAATTCTCATCAAAATCACATGTGGATAAATATGTAAATATTGTTTATTTACTTTTGTACGTGGTGCGAAATATTTCAGCTCAGTGGCTTTTGCCCTGGCACACAGGATATCTTTCGGACAAAGAAATCACTGTACATGAAAAGCTGTGACTGAGTTTTTCTCTGTTTGATCTGCAGGCTGTTATCTCCAAACACTCTGAAGAAGGGAAGAACAAGGAGGATAGCAACGATGCTGTAAATGGCCTCTGTCAGAATAAAAACACTTGTGCTGTAATATTTGCCGGTGCTGTTGTGCCTTATTGGTCATTCCTCTTATTGAAGCAGTCATCAGAAGCTTAACAGGCACTGACCAGAACCAACAGACAGGACAGTGTCCCATTTGTGTCCAGGGATATGTCACTGGGGAAATCCCCTGTGTTGGGGGTGCGCCCTGTGCCCCGACCCCTCCGGCTGTCCCACCTCAGCCTGCTGTGCATGTGTGTGTCTTTCTTAGCTCAGACTCCCCAGGGTTTGCCTGCGGTGGGTTATAACACTGACTCCAAGAAGGAGATCACCCTGGATGGAGATTTGATGATTGGCGGCCTGTTCCCTGTGCACCAGAAGGGTGAGGGGGCAGAGGACTGTGGGAAGATCAATGCCCAGAGAGGGATACAGAGACTGGAGGCCATGCTGCTTGCATTAGATGAGATTAACAAAGATGAGCGCATCCTTCCTGGGATCAAACTGGGAGCCCATATACTGGACACATGTTCCAAAGACACCTACGCTCTGGAGCAATCCCTGGAGTTTGTCAGGGCCTCTCTAACCAAAGTGGATGACAGCGAGTACACGTGTCCTGACGGATCCTACGCAATTCACGACGACGTCCCCCTGGCCATCTCTGGGGTCATAGGAGGCTCCTATAGTGATGTCTCCATTCAGGTAGGAATCAAAGAAATCACAGGAAATGTTGTCTGTCATTCAATATTTAACTTCCCTTTTGCTGTTGAAATCATTGTAGTTGTATATCATAAATTTAAAATGGTTAGATGCCTACAAAGAGTGCATTTCAGGATCAACAGCTCATGTGGGCTCGAGTGAAAACCAGAGACAGAATGAAGAGATGTGATGGATAGTCATAAATGTCCCCTTAGACTTAAATACCATGCACAATTACCCATGCGAGATGTTAACACAGGGACTTAATGAGTATCGCTTCCACAAGAGGATCTGTTTACCTGATTGCCCATATGCCTGAATGATCTAATTTAGAGGATCTCTTTCTCTTCCCCTGTAATTCACACTTCAGCAACAGTCCTGTCAGAAGCAGACATGCTACAGATGCGCTCAGGACAGGATGACTAGTGACGGCACCATTACTCTCAGCAGCAGCGCTCCTTTCGGCTAACTCAAGCTGATATGATGAAAGCTCCGCTAATAGGGTCTCCAAATCATTAGTGCAATATTTCTGCCACATCAATGTAATTGAAAAGTCATTGTCAAAAAGAGACAGTGTGTCCAGACCGGAGATTTGGAAATATCTTCAAATGTATGTGCTGCAAAGCATTCGATCACACTCATCATGCTGGCTCAGGTAGCCAGAGGACAAAGTCTTCCTCTTCAAGCTGAGAAGTACGGGTCAGCTAATTTCAGATATGCAAGCTCATGTTCTTAGAGATATGCTTGTTTAAAGAAAGGAACATGCTCCTGCCCTTCAAGAAATATAATTGGATTCAGATGAGTGGTAAACCATATATGCGGGAGGTACTGTCTTAGTCTTAGAAGTTTTCCCGTATGTACTGTACAAAGGGATAGCCGTGAAAATCGTATTTGTATTTTTTAATAATTGTCAAAGAGCGGAAAAGTGACTAGCTCTAGATATCAGCCTGTCATAAAATTACTCAATTATTGACATGTAATCAAGCACATTTATTAGTGCAGATTTGTTGTTTATATGATTATTTGTCAAATAATACCCATGCCATGCTTTCAGGGTAAAAAAAACCCTGGCTATAATCCAAGGCTATTCTTCTTACACGCCTGATGGCCAAATCAGCATTCACAATGAGACAATAACAGAATGAATAATTTATCATTGGATGATCATTTTAGAAAAATTGAAAAGTATGCATAATATTCCATAATTGTACCAACGTTTGGCACCCTCTACAGTCACACTATTTCTAATAACACAGGAGGACCAAATACAACAGAGAACAGCACAGTACAGGCCAGTAGAATGATGCACTGTACAGATACAGAGCTCCACGGTAAATTATGTTAGAAGAGGATTCAGTACACCTATAAAAGGATTCCTGATAAAAGAAAAGACAGTTTGGAAACAAAGCATTTGATGAATGTGCTGTAATTTTAGCATACCCTGCACCTGGTGCTCCTTGGGGAGTGCACTTGTCCTGTGGTAATTTATAGATATAGTGTTACAAGCCTGAGGTCTGGGGTCTGCCCTAGCTTCCATGAGAATCTCTCTCCTCTGCAGGACTACTCCACAGGACACAGCTCCTGCTCTCACCATGAATACTGTGTTCTAATGAACTTTTACCATGAAGTGTGCTAGCTCTTGCCGTTCATCTTAGCCATTCGGTGGGCATTTAATTCTGGTGTTTAATTAGCTTGTCCCATGCTTTCTCGCTCTATTGCTTTTCTGATGAACTGTGACCTGATACCAATCTTTCTTTCTTTTAATGTTGAAATGTTTCGCCATGTGAGATGTGCCCTTTGAAAATAAGATGAGCTGCATGTGTTAAAATATCTTACTACCCGGTTGTTTTCTCTAGCAATGTTGTAACACAAATGGGTTGTGTTTGTAAGCTCCCACTACATAACATCTCTATACAATATTTCTGTCCTTTTGTGACTATCTTGGCCTGTAAGACCTTTGGATGAACCATCCTGACTGTATGAGAGGTCACAAGCCTTCCTGTCTGTGAGAACAACAGGTGGTTAAAGCGGAGGCCTGAAATTCACCCCAAAGGCAAGACAGTTACAGGACAAATAACAATATTAGTTTAAAGGCCTTTATCACCTTGGCGACATGGCGGAACATGATGAACTGACAGGTGGTGGGAACGCCGAGTCCTTTCTAAATCTGTCACAATGAAGAAGCGTGTTTCTGTGCTGCTGGTGTTGTGGTGTGACTATCACAGATATGGGGGCAGATCTGGCTGCAGGCCTGGTCGTGCTGGCTCCTCATGAGCACAGATTGAGTTAAGTGTGGAGGCGAAACGCTGTGACGCTCGTGCAGGCTGGGTCCTGTCCTCCCCATCTGTGGTTGCAGCCGGGCTGTCTGGTGGGTTGGCAGAGGTGTGCATGCACACAGAGGATGTCGAGCCATTGCATGATGGATCCGGTTTCACAGAAACACAGAGACAGTGATGGGCAGACATGATCATGGAAGGAATGAGTCACATGGCTTCATACGGCGTTAAAGCACTTGACAACCAGCTCTTAAACGGTTAGATGGACGACTGTGACGCCATCTGGACAGTTTGAATGTATTTGTAGATAAATACATGCAAATTAAGAATTTGGCTTTTAACATTTCGCCTGTGGATCATCTAAACAGCAAGCCGTAGAAGTAAAGAGGCTGAATTCTGGGCTCATTCAGAATTCCTCGTCTTAAATTGCATCTCGAGCTGGAGGAATAAGATAAATGTTCACTCTCTGCATTTTTAGATTTAAAGAAAGATTCTGATATGAAAAGTCACCTTGATATTTAAAAAGTGTGAACAAAACCACAAGGTGTATTCATGACATTTCAGTGATCTTAGGAATCTCACTTTTATCTGTTGCAAACAACCCCATTTATAGAATTGTTTTCATCTGCAGGTAGACCCTGCCAATCTGGGAAGAATGCATGAGTCATAGAGAGGGTTTAAACATGGAAACACATGATAGAAATCATGCCAGGCTGAACAATAATGATGCATTGTATCAGTTATGCCTGCAAAATGCATTATTCATGGATAAAAGTAAAAAAAAACACCCTCTGAAAATGTAAATCATTGAAAATGATTGGATGATTCACAGGCTTGGTTGGAGCCACTATTTTGGCAGACAAAATACATGTCCACCACATAAACTCAGTGAATGATCTCTGACATAAGACATTCAGGACAAGTTTGTCCCTTGCATCTGAAGTGATTGTATTTCTAATATTGCTACAACATGCATGGTTGTGTGTCTTGGCCTTTTCTGTGTGGCCCTGATGCATGGATGGATGGATGGATGGATGGATGGATGCATGGATGGATGGATGGATGGATGGATGGATGGATGGATGGATGGATGGATGGATGGATGGATGTTATTGTTATTGAGTGACATCAAACCATGACATGATATGTAGCCTGAATGGATTACTGTTTCTATTGGACGTTTGGCCGTAAGATGGTGGGACTAGCCCAAAAAAATCCTTCCTCCAAATATGTGACAATTCATATTTCAGCCTGTTAAGGTTGTTACTAAGCAACTAAATAATGAGGAAAAAACCAACCAAAGATAAACTGCAAATTGTAAGTATTACACCATGCTTGGGCTTCATATGCATTGGTCTGTATTCGTGTGATACTGAGTGGAGCTAAGGACTGCTGCTATGGGAATACAGTGTTATGTTGTAGAAGCACACTGAGACAGTCTTCTGGGATGAACAGATGGGCTTTTCATGTAGAAAAATCATGACATCTCCACAAAGTAGGCTTGATATTTGCTGGATTTGACCACTCTCCCTGTCTCTTATTTATATGTTCCCCTATATCTCAACTTCTGCTTGATGTCTTTCTCCTTCTTGTCTCTAATCCATCCCATGATTAGTGGATATGAATAACTGTGATATCAAAAGAGCTTATATGCTAGATGTGAGCTAAATCTCTAATAGGTAGGGAAGAGATTAGATTATTTAAGCTTCATTTGTCTTGAGTGCTGCATATGAGCTACCTAGGCTACCTAAATTGTGATTTCTATTCCAGCATTTTATTCTTAATTTTTAATTTTTTTACAAATTGACAAACTTTATTTTTTCCAGAAAGTGTGTAATTTGAGAAAAGCTAATTACATAAATGTAAATTAGGGGAACACCTTATACACCTTAAAGTATGTAATGACTGTATCAGAAAGCAGTGGTTCATTGGGTTAACATAGAGCTTTAGAGCTTTAAACATTTTCAATTTCTGCTTCAAATACGGTTAAAAAAAGATTCTTAAAATTCTTTCCTTAGTTAAACCCTGCTGATAAATGTCTGCTATACATATCAAAGCAACAGCTTTGCTTTTTAGCTTGGAAGTATGATAAATTCAGCATGAGGTTTAGTTGTTGATAAACTAGTCAATTATACTCCAAACTTGAGCATATCTGAAAGACTCACTTAGCAGCATGGGTTCATAGTGAAACCATAAGTGGTAGTATTTGTATCCTAATTATATTTCCTTCATTGAACAGCCTCCTTAAAACCTGCAGCTTCAGTCAGGAGCACGTGTCAAAGTGTGAATTGCTTAGCAGTGGTCATAGCAAGATACAATCTTTCATACTTAAAATTTCCCATATTCTGAACTGAGAGCTCAAGTTCTGAATTTTCATATTGATTACTGTTGTAGAATCAGTTTACAGCGTGTCAGGGACAGGCTTTGGCGGGTTGGCGGGCTTTGACTTTTCACACAAGCCTTGTAAACCTCTTTGTAATGATGTACAATGAGCTTGCTGCATCAGCCTCATGCCTGTCACTGTGCTTTACAACCATTCATAAGTCACATGCAGTGTGAGTTGATTAGAGCTCTGTTTTATAAGCCATGGTGAAATGACTTATTTACAAACGTGAAAACTGAGAAAATCTTTTTTCTAATCTCATACAGTTGATGCTGTTGTATTGTGAATCAGCTGCAGTGTGTAATCTATCATTTATTCACAGGCTTCCATTTCCTCTGCCAAAAGACAATAACTGAGAAAATTTTCTCTTAAATACACACACACACACATCATTAGCAGAGAATTGCTCAAATTTTAACACAAATTTGTTTTGTTTTTTATCTAAACAAATGCAATTTAACTTCTTATACTAAACAATATTGGAACAAAAATACAAAGTCAACATTTTAACCCCATGTAATATACCCAAGGCAGTGGTGCCACATTCCTCCATGAAGATACACATGTTTCATAAAGCACTCAGCCTGCATGAATTTCAGGCTTAGAGTGATTCTCTGTAGAACTGAATATCTTGCCCATTATGTGAAACAGTCTGTGCTTTTAATATCTTTTGACTCCTTAAAAAAATGATCTCATCAAGAAAAAGAAGAATTCCTCAACCAAAAGTGATACAAAGATAAAGAATTCTGCTCTCATTAATAATTGATTCTGAAAGTAAAATCTTAAAAACACAAATGTCATCATCACTTAAACACTTAAATTAAGGTGGCTGGGTATCAATGGTCTCTTTTCACATAGCTTTTTGGACTTTCCATTGCCTTGACATGTTTCAGCCATAAATAAAAACAAGTTTTTAAAGTCAATCTATCCATCATAGATATCTTAAGTGCCATAAATCCAGCATTCTGGAGCTTATGACTTCACAATACGATTAAGTATTTAGGCAAGATATTTGGCTGCTCTTTTAACTCATCTTTGAGCTTCAAAGCTATAAGGAGGTAAATGTTGGAGAAACTATGTATAACTTAATACAACCACTAAATGTCTTAGAATCTGAGTTTAGCCAAAACCCAAGGTAAGAAGTCAACTTTTACCCCATTACTGACTGCTTAGTGAACGAGGGATGTTTAGGTTAAACATTATTTTTCTCTGGCTGACTGTTTTTCTGGTAAAACAATGAAATTCTTCCATTTTTTAAATGGCCATTATTATGGCTTAATTCAAATATTTCCAAAAAGTAAAGTGGTCAATCTTTCATTGTTTAAAATTGTATTTCAGCCTCTAACCATTGCAATTCTTCAAATTGCAAAATCCTACGATTAAATAAAAGGAAATTATCTCATAAATAGTCAAGTTTAATTATGAGATAATTATGGAGAAGGCTGATATGATCGCGTAATAATGGAAGTTTGTATTGCAGATTTTTAATAGGGAACTGAGTGATCTGAAAACATTAATGAGTGCTAATATCACATGCCACTTTAGATTATGCTCTGCTTTCCTCCACAAAGAGCAACCATGCTGCTGTTTGCTGCTTCTTTATGTTAAAGCATTAGTGAGAGGACATTATACGCATAAATATGATTTCTAGCTTGCATAATCAGGGTTTCTTCATCTGACCTGGCACCCACGAGGGAAACCGTCTTCTGAAATTATTTAAAACACTGTTATGTTTAAATAATTTGGACCTTCATTCCTTTCTCAAAATGTGTAACACTATGGACGAGTCAAAGTTGTATTTTTAGCCTGGTCAAATTTGAGTTGTGAATTAGAGCAACCATTACTTTGGATTGATTGTTATACAAACTGTGAAGCACTGTGGTGAAAATGAGCTGATTTGATTAAACCAGTTGCATCAATGATTGGGAAACCAGTTGTTAAGAATTTAACAGTGAGTTTTCCATCATTTCAAAAAGAGGGGGATGATGTTGTTTGGTAATCTGTAAACATGATATAAAGAAACAAAGAAATGTTTAACTGGATGATAACCCTCCTGGCTCATCCTGACAGAATGAGAGGAAAAGCCATGCCCAGGCCAAGCTAGGAATCGATTCAACAGGTTGTGAGATACATGTCAGATATGTTGCAAATGCATAAAAAAATCAGCATAGACCATAGGTAAGGAGCTAAATAAACATGTAGAACTACACAAATATGAGCATTTACACTCAAACTTCACATATTTAATAGTGAACTTACAGTTGTCTTTGTTTTCAATGACATATTTTTTATGACTATGCTTGCTTAAAAAAACCAAAACAATAAAGCCATCAAATGTGCCCGTTATGAATACTGATTGTGCCTTCCCTTAGGCGTCTACAGAAGAGCCCGAAGCGGAACAGTCATTAGCTTCTAAACTCTGTGTAGTAGGTGTGACACAGAAAAAGCAAAGGATCAAGATTTTTCTGTGCTTTGATTCCTTATCAATCCACTTACTGTGTTCTCAACCCCACCCTGACTTTATCTCCTGGCATACCTCTTTCTAAAACAGCGCAAGAACTTTGATGTGTTCATTTTTGTTACACTATAAAGCTTGTCTGGTCAAAGTAACACCTGCACTCCCCACAAACAGTATTGTCTAAAACCTTACAGAGTTGAGATGATTATATTGCAAAAAAAAACTATCTTTACAGCAATCAACAGCAGGATCACAACAAATTTGAAGGAAAGTTTCGCTACGAAGGCCCAGCTTGACTTTAGTGAGAACATTAGAGGTCAAATGGGGTGAAACCAATTGCATCTGGATGGAAAATTATGTGGTGCTTGTTATTTCATTCACTAACCTGAAGATGGCAAATAATAAGACAAAAGCTGATCTGAATAACTGTATATGTTATCCCTCTAATGTGTTTTCCTTATTACAGGTGGCAAACCTGCTGCGACTTTTCCAGATCCCTCAGATCAGCTACGCTTCAACCAGTGCCAAACTGAGTGACAAGACCCGTTATGACTATTTTGCCCGCACCGTGCCTCCAGACTTCTATCAGGCCAAGGCTATGGCGGAGATACTTCGGTACTTCAACTGGACGTACGTGTCGACCGTGGCCTCAGAGGGTGACTATGGGGAGACGGGCATCGACGCCTTCCAGCAGGAGGCTCGTGCCCGGCAGATTTGCATCGCCACTTCGGCCAAAGTGAGCCGCTCCATGAGCCGCTGGAGTTATGAGAACGTGATCCGCTCTCTTCAGCAAAAGTCCAACGCCAAGGTGGTCATCCTGTTCACGCGCAGTGAGGACGCCCGTGAGCTGCTGGTGGCAGCCAACCGCATGAATGTCACTTTCACCTGGGTGGCCAGTGATGGCTGGGGAGCGCAGGAGAGCGTGGTGAGGGGAAGTGAGGCTGTGGCCGATGGAGCATTCACCATCGAGCTGGCCTCCTATCCAATCCCCCACTTCAATGAATACTTCACATCCCTGCACCCGTACAACAACACAAGGAATCCCTGGTTCAAAGAATTCTGGGAAAACCAGTTCCAGTGCAGCCTCCATGACCTGGGATGTGGAAAACACTCGCTTCGCGACGTTCCGTTTCAGCCAGAGTCCAAGATCATGTTTGTTATCAATGCTGTCTACGCAATGGCTGCTGCTATACATAACATGAGACAAGCGTTGTGTCCCAACTCCACAAACGTATGTGACGCTCTGAAACCTGGCAATGGCCGAAAGTTTTACAGAGACTACATACTCAAGGTCAAGTTTGATGGTGAGTAAAACTTTAGTTTTCAAAGATTATGAAAATATGTGAAAGTCTAAGTTTTCATCAAACACTCATCTGTGCAGTATCAAACTCCAAACAAACTTCCACATAATATAATTTCATTGCTCCAAAGGGCTTCTTCACTCTTTGGATGCTAAATTAGATTAAATGATTTTCTATGAATTTTTTCCAGTTCATTTAGAATATTGAATAAGAGCAATTACAAATGTTTCTACACTGCAGCTGCAGACAAATTTAGATATGGTTCAGTTAGCAATGATGAAATAATTTCCTCATTTTTGTGCTTTGAGGGTGCTTTACTTCATGCACAAGTGTAAACAGAGCTCTTTAGTTTGAACACTGCAAAAACTTTTTGTACAGAAAGCTCTAATACACACATCATGTTACTGTGACTGCATCAACTCATCCCTCTATTACAAATATCAGGTTTACCAATTCAAATGCTCTCCATTTTTTTTTTAGCAGCCTTGGGTTATCTTTCGCTTTATGGAAATACTGACATTTTCATTGATGGGAGATAATGGTGGGCCACTGTGTTCTTATCCAGCTGTGCTTTTCTGCTCCTCAGAATTTCTAAAAAAAGAATAAAAATACCCAAAGGGATTTATTATCTGGAGATTTTCATTGTGGATTAGAGGCCTTAAATTAGTCAGTCCCAAGAGATGTTGCAGCACCCTAAGGACAAAAACAGGTAGACCACTTTTTAAAATAAATGTATTGAATAAGGTTAGACACTATTTTCAATAAAATAAGTTGCTGCTTCAAAGTTCAATAAAAGGTTAGTAAACAGTAATATTTTGCTTGACAGTGTTGTACCGGTTTGAGTAATGTGTCAGAGTTTTCAATGTTTTACGAAAATTGTATAGAACTGAATTATAGAAAAAAATACTGAATAAATAAATAAATGCATGAACAAATGTTCACTAAACAGATTTTAGCCTTAAGGTTAAGGGTTAAGTGTTAATACACAGATCACAGAGAGGACTCAAGAATATTCCTTTTATGTTGACCAAACAGAGACTCCTTAATTCAGCTATGAAGAAAGAGATTGTTCTGTTTGTTTGAGAGATTATCATTGAGCCCATAAGCACTTTGAGGGAGGTCCACTGCAAAGATTATAACATTTTAAACATAGAAAACTTATTTTAACTTCTTTGCAAATCAGGCTCTACAAATCAAGCCTCACTGCATGTTATGGTGGCTAAAGATTTGCACCTGGTATTGTCACTGCTCATTCTATAGTGAACAAACAACAAAAAGGTAAATTACATTACATTAATTTTGCAAAAGCAGCATGTTATGTGCTTGACAACATATGTTCAAGGAGCAAAGGAGCAAACTGATATAGTCAAAAGATTAAAAAAGAAATAATAACAAAATAGATGATAAAAAAATCACATTTACATTGTTCTGTCAATTTGGGATCAATTTGAAATGTTAGCTGTACCTGTCATTACACATTCTACTTTTATTTGATAAAACTTCCTCTATCTTTTCTCCATTTCTTTGTCAGCACCCTTCCGCCCCCCTGACACAGAGAATGTAATCCGTTTTGATGCCTATGGAGACAGTCTTGGTCGCTACAACATTTTTCACTACCACAAAGAAGGCGGACGCTATGTCTATCAGAAAGTTGGCTACTGGGCACAAAGTCTGACTTTAAACACCAGCTTGATCCCCTGGGCTGGCCAGGTTGTGCCTACCTCACAATGTAGTGACCCATGCAAGAAGAACGAGGTGAAAAGTATGCAGCCAGGAGATGTGTGCTGCTGGATCTGTATCCCCTGTCAGCCCTACCAGTACCTACAGGATGAATTCACCTGTGCTGACTGCACCTTTGGACAGTGGCCTCTGGCCAATCTTACAGGCTGTTATGACTTACCCGAGGAGTACATCCGCTGGGAAGATGCCTGGGCCATCGGACCTGTTACCATCTCCTGCCTGGGGATGATGAGTACGCTTTTTGTCATCGGCCTGTTCCTGAAACATAATGAAACACCTGTAGTGAAGGCCAGTGGACGTGAACTGTCTTACATTCTTCTGATGGGAGTGCTGATGTGTTATTGCATGACGTTCATTTACATAGCCAAACCTTCCACAGCGGTTTGCACACTGCGCCGCTTAGGGTTAGGCACCTCTTTTGCTGTATGCTATTCAGCCCTTCTAACCAAGACTAATCGAATTGCTCGTATCTTCAGCGGAGTGAAAGACGGAGCTCAGAGGCCTCGATTTATCAGTCCAGCCTCCCAAGTTGCCATTTGTGGGGCTCTGATCTCCTGCCAGCTGGTAGTTGTGGTGATTTGGCTACTGGTGGAAACTCCTGGCGTGAGAAAGGAAGTGAGCCCAGAGAGAAGAGACGTGGTCACCCTCAAGTGTAACAGCAAGGACTCCAGTATGCTCTTGTCCCTCACTTACAACTGCATACTCATTATCCTCTGCACAGTCTACGCCTTCAAGACCCGCAAATGCCCTGAGAACTTCAACGAGGCCAAGTTCATCGGATTTACCATGTACACCACCTGCATCATCTGGCTGGCTTTCCAACCTATTTTCTACGTTACTGCCAGTGACTACAGGGTAAGTTCAATTATGCTCCTTCAGCAGACCTGCAGTCTTTTTAACGGCAAGTAGGAACACTTATTTCAACGAGGCAGACAGGACATGCTATGGTTATCATTCGTTACCAGTTTTTTTTTTTTTCAGATGGCTTAAGGTTGTTGAAATCTGAGCAGAATACACCCTAGCAGATAATTGTATTTTGTATGCACTGATGCAGTGCCTGTTCAAAATGTGTTAACAGCAGCCTGAAGTGCAACAGGAAAAAAAAAAAACTTTAAGTCAAATGTGCTCAACTCATCCGCACAGCTTGACTCCAGAAAAAAGGGTGCCAACTGTTTGTGAGCTTCCAGTATATGTGTAGCAAACAAAAACACTGTTAACATGAGCCTGGAACACAGGCCGATGCACAGATGATCATAAAAAAAACATTTGAAGGGGTTATATGAGGTCCAGGTAAACCGAAATATAGTACTCCCTCTGAGAGCTGTTCTCTCTCCTTGTTATGGCCCATCCAGAACAAGTAGTGTACCCCAAAAAATAGAATGCTCTTGAATATTCTGAATGTTAATATTATCGTTGATTGTTAGGAAACACTGACATCTTTCTCTATCATGAAAATAGACATATCTTTGCCGGAGTTGTTCTGAGAATTACTTAATTGTCTTACATTTTACTGAGCCTTTTGAGAAAAGTGGGTAATAAGTAAAGCCATGCAAAGGCTTACAAGGAGGTATGGGGGAAAAAACAACAGAGCTGCTGTGCAACATAGCTTTGATGCACACAGTCCATAATATGATAGGGAGCCGAAATGAATTCTAATCCTGTGTGATTTTACAATGCGTCTGCATGCTTTGTAGGGGAAAAAAAAGCGAACAGGAAAAAACAGTTGATGGGATATTATTGTCCCAGGAACATTTTTTGATGAACTGCCGACCTGTCCAGGGTGTTCCCACCTCTTGCCTAATGACACCTGAAATAGACTCAAGCCCCACCCTTGTGACCTGACTAGGAATAAGTGTTGTAGACACTGGATGGATAGACGGGTGGAACTTTTCTATGTGGTTACAATGCCAACTGATAAAAGCAAATCACCACCACTTATAGCAGATTGGATTGTTCTTTCACTCTCACACTGCTTGAATTAGTCGAAGCACAAAAGAGGACCTCTGAGATCATTTCTGTAAACAGCTCATAAGCATAACTGCATCCACTGAAGTCTATAGAATGCATGCTCAGACTTTCAGCCCATTAGTCACCTCCGGCACATTTGTTCTGATCTATATAGCCCATTGTGTTTGTTTGTTTTTACAGATTATAGTAATTACTGATTTTAACGGTCTTGCTTCAAACTAACCTCACTGACTTATGATAAGTAACAATTTCCTCCCCTGAAATGTACTTTGTCTAACAAACAGCGCTGTGAGTACATTTGTGTTGTCAACGGCCAGTGAATGTGGACTGTGTTTATAACTGTACATTTAGTTAAATTAACAGCAATTACGTTAACAGGGTTACTTGCTATCCTATTGTACTGACAAATTTTGAGCTCAGACAGTTAGACTGTAAGATTTCTAGAAATGAACAGTTTAGTACTCCCCAAGAAAAACACAAAAAATCCAAATGCTATAGCCACACCAGTGCTACTACCACATCTGCAAAGCTCTAATTTCTGTGGGGTTGTAACGTAATTAATGCTGAAAATATTCTACAATGCTCTCAGCGTTAATGTAAAGGGGAAAACAGACACAGACACAGTTAGACTACTAGATAGATTGCTACATGTTTGCTGGTCATCTGTGGAAACAGGATCATGGATCGAACTGATAGAACTGATAGAGCTGCATTGAATGTGGAGAATTATTCCTTTGAGATATCACCAGATTGCAGTGCAACAGAGACAGAAGGGGTCAAGAGCAATGGAGGCGTCTGCCACAGCTGCCTTTGTAGCAGTATGGAAAAGGCAGACAAGACCATGAGGGATGAAAGGGAACTGAATGTCCCTGTTAGTCCCTTTGCGTAGCTTTGTGGAATGGAGTGTGAAAGACTGGGATGCTGAGTCCCAGCTGTGTTCCCTCTATCCCGGGACTTGAATGATGCTCAGAGGAACCCTTCTTATAGCCCCTCAAGTCAACACAATTTGAAGCCTGAATGGGTTCATTAGATAGATGAAAAGCTCCCCTTCATCCAATGAATAATTACTCAAACTACTTATGTGGCACGGTATCGACAATTTTTAATAGCAGTGAGATATTACCAGTGTTTTACACTATTTCTTAAATTGTTGTCACAGCATGATGTACGTCTCCAGTTGAATGATAAAAAAAGTTTTGATTGTAGACAGTCATAATATGGTAAACTAAACTAAAGACAGTCGACTGAAGCATGAATTATACGTTAGAATATCAATGATAAACACAACTAAGCAAAGACAATAGTCATCAACACCACCATCTGACAATCACTGTGTCACTCAGAGTACAAATTAGCTTGACCAAATTAGATTTAGTAATTTATGCCAGCAAGGTATACTAGCTATTGGGCCATTCACCCTTTAAAGCTTTTTTAAATATTAGGTCACAATAAAAACAGGAATTTCCTTTTCACTGTCATATTCTTTGAATATATTAAACCCCATGAACTCATACATTGAACTGAAGCAGCAGTGCTATACATGTGGAAAGAAACTTATAACTACAAAGGTCTTCATTGTAAAAACTGTGAACATGTACAAGCCGTAACTGTAGCAGCCATGCACAACACTAGAAAATGCTCTGCACATGCACAACACACACGTGGAGAAAAACATTAGAGGAAAAGCTGATTCTTTGTCACTGCTCTTCCACAGAAACATCCTGTGAATTATTAAAACCACTTAACAGGTCGTTTCTGTGTGCTACTGTCCATGATTTTGTTCAAAGCTACTTCATATTTAACCAGGGGGCATTTAGAATTTTTTAATCTGTCTATGGCAGATCCCTATGTACTCTATGTATAATATTTATTTCACTCTTAGTCTTTATTTTGAGAATAGTAACATGGATGCAGAGATAGGAGAATATCACTGGATTTCAAAACCGAACAGAAGTGTGTTCTTCAAAAGTGGCAGGAGGGGAATCTTAATGAATTATTTGTAGATAGCTAGCTACAAGACATCTCAAGATATGGATGTAAATGCATTTTTAACGTACTGTGGTTGTTAACATTTCCTCTATGTACCTAAAATGTTAAATGCATATAATCTATGTTAATTTTCTCAGATATTTCCCTATGTATCCCTTTCCTGATGAAACAGGTGACACTAAAGATAGTAAGGTGTAGACAATGTTAAAAACAGAACGAGATGACTTGGAAATGTCATATATTCAGCTTCATATCTCAACATAGCTTTTGGGAAAAAGGATGGCAATTGCTATAGTCTTGGAAGTGGAATACTGTGTGAAAGAGTGGAATGCAGAGCCTGGAAGCTTTCTCTGTGGATGATTCTGCGGTTTCTTTTGATGTTAAGTTCTCTTTGACCAGCACTAGAATTTCACAGGTGGGTAAAGAGGACAGACGACACAAATGCTGAACAAGACAGTTAGTTGCTGGTTGGTTAAAAGATTACAATTACAGTGTGATACATCTGACCCATACTGTCATAAGAAACCCAGATCCTAACTCCTAAAACTTCAGTTTTAAAGCCGCATGTGACTGAAAAGCATGCCACAGAGCATGCAGTCTTCCTCTTATGACAACCCGCTCCACATTCACAGAGGCCGAAGCATCCTTTGCTCGTGTCTTGAAACTGAACACTCCTGGACACCTTCAGATGTACTTGATCAGGCTGGTCAGAGCTCATTAGACAAGCATTTGTTTATCATCTGAGTTCCCAAGCTCATTGCATTTTACAATATTCTTGCATTGTTGAAATGTGTCATCTTTACATTAACACTACTTCAACTCTCCGACATGCTCATTTTGAGCAGAATCATCTCATATCATTTATGTATAATTTAATTCTAACATTTGTATAGCATTTTGTGAACTTTTTACATACTGTACTTGCCAATGGTGTAAATTTACCCATATAATTTCAACATTAATTCTGTCTTTGTTCTTCATACAGTTCATTTATGGCATTCCCTTTTTGTTTTTGGGACTAGTTTGGTGTCGACATGTCATCATGGTGGCAAATAAACATCCATCCATTGTCTATACTGCTTATTCCCAGTAGAGTTATGGGTGGGCAGTCGCCTGCCATTTGGCTAAAGGCAGGATACACTCTGGTTGCAAGTCCATCACATGGCTACACAGAGACAAATAACCGCACATTCACATTTCCGCCTGTGGACGGTAAATAAATATTTAGATCTAAATGGGAGACCAGCGGACGGCATAAACCTACATTTTGTGCATAATTAAAACCTTCTTCTATTCATTTGATGTCATCCATAAATGGAACAGTCTGCGCACATTTGTTGACTAGATTATTTTAATACCAACATTGACATTCAGGGTGACAACAAACACCTGCTGTGTCTTTGAAATAAGAAACGCTCACACCACACAGCACCGAGCTGTATCTTCCTAACCAGAAAACAGGGAAAACTGTGAAATGATTGGAAATAAGGAGGCATACTGAAGATGAATAGAAATGTGAGCACGGTGAAGGGTAAACTAAATCAAGCTGCTGATTGGCAGGTAAATAAATGCATCACTTTACACCTTCTGCTGGAGTTCCCGGTCGATAGCAGCTGTCGTCCTAAACTTCACCGCACCCGATTTTGATTCAACATTATGAATGATGGGCTATCACTTTTGCTCTAAGTGCTGGGTCTTTTTCTTAGTGGCATGAATGTCTGAGTAATTCCTCAATATTATGTGGATTCATTTACCATTTCTGCATTCTTAAAGGATGCACTTTTATGAAATTAAGACTGCCACTTCAGCTGGGTTGTAGGAATTCCCACAATACTTTAGTAATCTAGCAAAAAGTGCCTGTTTGTTGCATATATGTTTCATCAAGTTGACGAGCATATAAGACTTTGAAGCCGAATTAAAGTTTATGGGGTTTTAATTCTGAACTTCTTACCTGTCATCCTCAAGGTTCAGACGACAACCATGTGCATCTCTGTCAGTCTCAGTGGGTCGGTAGTGCTGGGTTGCCTTTTTGCTCCGAAGATCCACATCATCTTGTTCCAGCCACAGAAGAATGTCAGCACCCTCAGGGTGGCCACCACCCGCTTTAGTGTCAATACTGGCCCGGCCTCCAGTTTTTCTCAAGGTACCACCTGATTCCTGATATTCCTTTTTCACCTTCATGTTTATTGGACATTGTTTCTGGCACGTGAGCTCTGGCAAACCAAAAAAGAATTAGGAGATCGTTAGTTCACAAGGGTTCCACCATTTTCTACAAACTGAAGGTCAGGGTGCCACCGTTGAATGGGCATTGAGATCCTAACACAACAAATCGTTACATGATCATTCTATTGAAAGACAGTAGATCGTTTTCATGCTTGTTATGGTTCTCTATCACAGAAGAAAGGAGCACCGGTGGAATTTGCGATGTCACATACAATGTTAAGTCTGGGTTTAGCCTTCTGGGCATAGCCTTCATGCGTTTTCCTTGTTTTCGCAGCATCAGCTTCCAACGTTGTTCCAACAGTGTGTAATGGACGAGAGGTAGTGGACTCGACAACATCATCTTTGTGAAGATCCACTGGGGCTTTTGGCTAACCGTTGTAAACAGTTATATAATCACTAGTCCTGAATCAGGTGTCTCAGATATTGAAGAGGTCATGCAGATGATCGTCCTGACTTTGTTGTTCTCAAAGTGCTGTGAGTACAATGTCCAAGTTTAATTTTCTATTTAGTTTGTTGACTCGTAGCAATTTTACATGAGATGCCAATGAAGTCAAATATAGCCCTTGTTTGTAAAGATTCTACTTGCAACAATGGAGTAAATTATAGTAAACCTGTTAAATGTATTATATACAAGACGTTTTTAATGTAGATTCTGGTGAACCAGTTTGTGCTTTCTTGTAATTTATGTAAATAAAGTGTGTTTTTACAAATACTAAATCAATGAATGTCAGAGTGTTTCTTTGCATGGCACGGTGAAACATTTCTGAGGATTATGCATATGTGAAAATGCTTTGAGATTGTTAGTACACAGAGTAGTAAAACTACATGCTGCAGACAAAAATGGTAAAAATCCTAAAATGTTATATCAAACATGAATATATTGCAGTTTTTATAGTCAAAAAGACAATGCACCAGAGTCGTAGTAATGATTAAAGTACTGAGAAATAGTAGCCATACACTAATGAAGCTCATGTAATGCTTTGAACACCTGAATCAGATTTTGGGTTTGATGTGTGGGCCAAGACAAAAAAAAAATCATATGGACAGAAAAAATCAAAGGATCAAAGCAACAATCCTGGAGGTAATGCATACAGTTTTTCTTAAATTATCTCAAAGGTAGGATTAACACAAATTTAATGTGTACCCAGTTGGGGTCTAAATGTTGTCCTGCCCAACATATAAGATCTTAAATCGACACCATCTGTAAAAAGCAAACAGATCTTGAATGAAAATCACCAGCACAAATACCATCTGCTAATATGGGATCAAATCCACCAAAGCCATACAAGAAATGCACACTGCAGTAACTAAAACTGATGATTTTCAGACTGATGCTGTAGAAGACAAACCTCATCAGTAATTTAACACTGCCATCTTGTGCCCATTTCCTTCATCTGATTTGAGGAAAGAATGAGTCTTAACTTGAGTGTAAAGTCACAATGGACTATCATATATCAAATTGATTTAGATTTAGATTTAGACTTAGACAAAAGAATGGGAGGTTAATTTAACTTACTGTGGCTACTTCTCTATCCAGGTGCAGGTTAAGATGTAAAGCATGCAGTCAGGAAGAGCCAAACACTTGGATCAGAAAATATTAAGTGCTGTGTCTGATGCAGCTAAAAGCAGCAGTCTTGATTAAGTCATTCATAGATTAATCCAATACACGATTATTGGCAGGCTGGAACCGATTACACGTGTTTTGGGGAAAGAGACAGGGTACAGATATTATGTTGTTATCAAAGAACCAATAAAAGGGCCTGAGATGGAATTTGAGCACAGAGCCATATTGATGTGAGATGACGTTGCTAACCAGTCCCTCTTTTTTGGTATTTTATAAATAATCATTAAATGACATTAAATATATAACAACACTGAATATTGTAGTCCCATAATGCTGAAGTGGATTCAGCAGGTACAAGAAAAGGATAAATGGATTTGACACATAAAGAAGAAGGGTGTACCCCGCCTCTTGCCCATTGACTCCAGTTCCCCCCGCGACCCCATTAGGGAATAAGCGGTAACGATAATGGATGGATGGATGGATAAAGAAGATGTTTAGCAATATCATTACAATAAGACATGAAACACTGGCCCCTTAATGGTCTTAATAACAAAAGGAAACAGAGAGCAAAAAATATATATAAAATTTGTGTGCACATACACACTACAGTGAATAAATATAAATATTTCTAGAAATATTTTATTTCAATTTACAGTAGTGTGTATGTGCACACATATTTTCTATACCTTTTGTGTAGATGCCACTGGAACTGTTGGTGATATCAAACAAATAAAATGTCTAGTCTATACACGGCTCACATTTCCATCTTTTTTTTGGCCCAAGTTTGACATTCTAGGATTAAATTGAGGAAGATTGGTGAGTGTGGTTTCTGCCCCAAACTGTAGTAGTCTTTAGGCTACAGAGACATACGTTGTAATGGATGTGCTTGCTGTTTCCTGTGTATAAGACAGCTGATGACCACATCTGGCCAATGTGATCAATAATCCACTCTAACTTCAGCACAGTGATAAAGAAATATAACGAGTTTGTTCAACTAGGGAATGAATATGATATTTATTAATCTTTAATGAAGTTACCAAAATGGATAAATTCACATTAAACATTCCCTGTTGCGGGTCCGGAACGTTTTAAAGTTAGTTATTGTGATAATAAAAAAAAATAAAAAAACCTAGCTCCGTATCGGTGTGCAGATCTGCTGCAGGCTGTCCGTTGCAGTTACAGGATGGGGCCGCTAGGAGGCGGTGACGGCTCGGCCGTCGTCTGTGTTTCAGCAGCTCGGAAAGAAGAAGAGACCATGTCCGGTAAAGCCACGCCCCTTCCCTCAGATTGTACAGTGAATGTAAACTCAACAGCCTTTGTCAGACAGTAGCAGGATATCTTTTCAGGAGAAAGAAGCCGACTCGCCGCCTTGCCACACCCTGTGCTGCTTAAAGGTAATATGGAGACGAACGGTGGTTTGTGCAAGAGTTCTGAGTGTGTAGGCTCAGTTGGGGCCTGACTACCCCATTTCATTTCATTAAAAAAACTATCCTGTTTGAAGGAATTGTTATTTACGTACTACTACAATGATTAGCAGTACCGGTATGATTAGTCCGAACCAGTACGGGGAATTGCATCTAGTAGTTGTTTTTAGTGGGTGGTGGTAGGCATGTCTGAACTTGCCTGGCCATTTTACCCATTGACCAATAGGATTGGTCCCTATCCAGGCTCTCCCCCTTCAAGGACTATGGCACCGAAAAGACGCGCTGCTTCTGCTGCCAAAGCAGGTGGGAAGAAGGTGAAAGAGGAGCCTGAGACCCCAAAGCCCAAGGATGCCTTCACCTCAGCTAAAGAGGCTCTTCTGGCTGCAGGGCCGCAAGTAAAAGGCAAAAGGAGGGTGGATGAGCACTGTGAACTGTCATCCTCTGGAGAGGTTGGATTGTCCGAGTATAGTGTAGCATTTTTCTTATGCAGATTGGAAATGCACTGGATGAATAATACTAATCCCCTTTGCCTCCAACAGGTGTATGAGGACTATGACTGCATGCTCAACCAGACAAATATCGGACAAAACAATAACAAGTTTTACGTCATCCAAATTATTAAAGAAAAAAATAAATACTACTCATGGAACAGGTGGGGTCGAGTGGTAAGTTGCTCTTTCTGTATAATTCCCCCTGAAAAGCATCTTTAAATGCTTCACTTTGTTTTAATGATTAACATTATTCAGTGCTGCATCTGTTGCTTTTATTGTTTTCAGCTGGTGATTATCCATTGGAGTTGAAATCTAAGTGCTGCAGTGCAAACACACGCCTCTCCAAACATTTCCTTTCATAACATAAAGCATTAAAGGTGTTTTTTCACCAGAGGCTTGATGCTGAGGTGTTGAACTCCAGTCCAGGAGGGCTTCTGTCCTACAGGTTTAACACAAGGCTCACAATGTCTAGAGGAGATCCAATTTAACAGAATCAGGTGTGCAGAAACAGGATAAAACCTAAAACCTGCAGGGCAGGGGCCCTCAAAGACTGGCGTTTGACACCCCTGGTTTAGCGTCTCTTATTTAATGTTTTATTATTTTAACCATTAAAACAACCTGATTGTTAATGTTGTCTGGGACTATTGATGATTTATATATGTATTTTTGTGCACAGCTCTCTATTTTGAATCATGACAGTTAAAAAGAAATACTTCTGACTGCTTCATCTCTCATGGAAACTCAGGGCGAAACCGGGCAGAAAAAACTTAACCCCTTTGACAAGCCTGAGACTGCTGTCAAAGACTTTGAGAAAAAGTTTAAAGACAAAACAAAGAACAGCTGGAGCGACCGCATGAACTTTGTTTCTTACCCTGGAAAGTACACCTTGATCGAGGTGGACGGGGAGCAGGATGCTGAGGTCAAGGTGATGCAAATTAAACTAAAAGCCTTGACTGTGGTTTTGTAATGTGATATCCTTGTAGTGGACATGTAGCAAGACTTTCCTCTGCTCTCTCTTTGACACCGCAGGTAGACAGCGTCGATGGACGAGTGGACAGAACATCAAAAGAGATGCTACCTTGCACACTTGATGAAGCTACACAGAAACTTATCACTCTCATTTTTAGCAATGACATGTTCAAAGAGGCCATGGAATGCATGAACCTAGGTGGGTGTGCCTCAGACAAATCCTTTTCCAACAGGTCTGTGTAGTTGCAAATGTCAAGTGTTCATATAAGGGCAGTTGTGCAACATGTTAACGTTTTACTGAACCATCGGTATTGTTTGGAATGGTAGAGAACCAAGCCGATAAGAGAGGACAATTCGACAGATTGTAAAAGGGTTGATGCTAGAAACAAAGCGTGAGATCAGCAGTCACATGTCCTAATTTCACCATTTTGAACAGATTAAACCAGTGTCTTGGATTTCAATCACAAAATAGTCATGTAATGTAAAAAGCTGACATTATTGGTTAAAACTGGATCTGGTGTTTGCTGTCACAGATATTAAAAAGATGCCCTTGGGCAAGCTCAGTAAGAGTCAGATTGCAAAGGGCTTTGAGGTTTTGGAGGAGATTGAAGCAGCAATGAACCAAAGAAATGGAGGCAGCCGTCTGGAGGAACTTTCCTCAAAGTTCTTCACCACAATCCCACACAACTTTGGCAGGAACAGACCACCAACTATCGAAACTAAAGAGATAGTTGAGAAGAAGAAAGAGATGCTTATGGTAAAACCTTTTTATTTATTTTTTTTATATTAGAATAGGTTTGGAATAAACTGTGTTTAGAATGTTTTTTAGGAGGTCAACAATTTTCTCTTTAATATGCTGCATTAAGGTTCTGGCTGACATCGAGCTTGCCCAGACTCTGAAGTCAGAAACTGAGAAGGCTCAGGAAACGACAATAGAAGCAGTTCCTCATCCTGCTGACCAAGACTACATTTCTCTCAAATGCAAGCTTACTCTAATGGATAAAGATGACAAAATGTTCAAGGTACCACGTCTTACGGGTTAATAGCCTGTAAATGCAGATATCTTGTTTTGAAATGAATGATCTTGTGTCCATGTGCATCGGCTCTTTTCTGTATGATCTGACTCTTGTTGTTTTGTATTTTAAGGTCATACAAACATACCTGAATATGACGTCAGATAACCATCGTAGACCAAAAATTATCAACGTTTGGGAAGTTGACCGGGAGCTAGAGGTAGGAAGTGAACAGCCGGCCTTTTCACAGTGAGTTGAAGTCCAAGAGCCTGCAATGTGACGCAAACGCTGCCCGTTTCAGGGAGAGCGCTTTATGGAGAACGATGAGCTGGAGAACCGCCGCCTGCTGTGGCATGGCACTAACATTGCAGTGGTAGCTGCTATCCTGAAAAGCGGTCTGAGGATTATGCCCCATTCAGGAGGCAGAGTTGGTCGCGGCGTTTATTTTGCATCTGAAAACAGCAAGTCTGCGTCATATGGTAAGTCTGGAAAAAGAAGGTGCAAACATGTATTGTGTCTATGATATTTTATCTTAAATTTTTTGTCTTTTTTTTTTTTCACCCAGTTTGCCCCTCAAAGAATACTGGAGTGATGTTTTTGAGTGAGGTAGCTCTTGGGAAAGAGCATACCATTACCAAAGATAACTCCCGACTGGTTAAAGCTCCAGCAGGCTTTGATAGCGTGGTGGCACGAGGTCAAATGGAACCAGGTACAAATATTTACATGTATTTAATACAGGAAAATATATTTTTTCCCCATCATGTCTATTTTCTGGACGAGAGCTGCAGTGTCTTCACTTTTAGTTTGCATTAATGACAAATGCTTCAAAGAAAACATGTAGCCCATGTTCAAGTCCAGTCACTTCTTACTTGGCTTAGTTAATTTCCTTGATTTTAAAAAAACAATAGCAATCGAATGCCAGTTGGCATTTGGGGCTATATCTTGTTTTTTGAAGTTCCTCATCTTGCTGTTTCAGATCCCTCGAAGGACATCGTCATCACCTTGGATGGCAAAGAGGTTTCAGTGCCTCAAGGAAAAGCCATAAAACAGCCTCAGTTCTCTGACAGTTACTTCTCCAACAGCGAATATCTCATCTACAAAGAGAGCCAGTGTCGCCTCCGCTACCTGCTGGAGCTGAAAATGCGTTAATGTTTCAAATCAAAGAGGGTAGTGAGTCCTTTAAATGGGAAAAGTCTTTTGTCACTTGCTTTGTTATAGGCTAACTCTTGTCATACTGGATATGAAGCTTGCTCCCTTATAGATTGATTGCATTATGCATTTTCTTTCCCTGTGCCTTATGCCTGTATACATGTGTAATAGAATGTAAGTCTGTTTTAGCAGACTTTAGAAAATATTAACATGTTAGTACTTTACCATGAAGTGCATGGTAAGCACTTTCAAATGATAAAAATGAGGAATGGCCTTTACGTTAGGATATGTTCTCTGAATGCCTTTCTAATTGAAGTCTAAGTGCTAATAACAGAGTAATTCTTCGGAGAGAGAATTGATCCGATATTTAAGGGTAATCCTTTTCACGTGTCTATGCGAGTATATATGCACTTTTGAATGAGTAGAATGAAGACCAATGTGCAATTGTATTTCCAGATGTATGGAGTGCAGGTTGTTACTTGCCCTAAGCAACTTTTTTTTTCTTTTTTCTAGCCATTAAAAAATATTCTAAAAGTACTTTTGAGTAATATCAAAATCAGGTATTGCAAAGCAAAAATCATGCAGCTTGTAGCTTTATTCCCAAAAACACTGTACAATGTATGTAAGAACCTTAGCATTTCTGCACTATGACCATGTGACACTATTACTGGAGCTTGGGATGCATTTATAAAAGTGAAGTGTGCTAGTAAACTTCTTTGTCCTTTATTCTTTTTGCAGTCAATTTTAAACTTAGATTTTTGGTATTTCTATTTGGAAGAAGTGTTTTGAGCTGAATTTTGTTAGATGAAGTTAAATATGGTAGTTGGTGCATGGTCTTATACCAACCACCTCTTAAGAAGCATACTGTCTGTAATTATCTCCAGAGCAGATGAACTATAGGCTGATGAAGACAGAAAAGGTGATGTCTGCTCAGTTTTTTTTACCAAACATTAGGTTCATGAAGTAAGCTGTTATTAGAAAGAGCTTTTTCGGGAATAACTGAATTCTAGTTTAATTTTAGTAGTACTGAGAATGACTGTCAAGGCTAAGGATGGTAAGAACCATTTTTCTCTTTAAAAAAATGTTTTGCAGTACACTGACCTAATGGGTCACAAACCATGTAAAGAATAAAATAATAAGAACTCATCCCAAATGATTGGATCCTGCCATGCTGCGCTAGTTCTGACGAGTGGAAAAGACATTAACACCTGCAAATGCCAGCTAACTTCAGCAGACATTTAGTTTTGAGAGGGCTTTTATGTAACATAGTAACGTAAGATCAAGTATGCTAGTTGAATTAATACAGTTTGAACCAAAAATAAATAGTATAAAAAGGAAACTTTTAAAAGAGTGCGAAAATAAAGCCATTGCCACTAAAATCTTAAACTAAAGTCAAAATAACCAATTAATAAATTATTTGTGCAAGATATATTGCATTCTGTTGCTATGTTATGCTACTTGTAAGCACAAGTTTTTTTTTTCAGTATTATTGTATTGTAAGTTTTGTATTGGCACTTTAAGGCTGGGGATGGGAATTAGGACCCAGGGAGGACTGGGCTCTGTAGTGGGACAGTGGAGTGTGTGTATTTTCACAAGGGTGGGAGGCTACCCTGCAGCTCACACAACTGCAAAGTACAATGTGTGACAGTCACTGCCATACACAGCACAGGACAGCAGTAAGTGTGTTATCAGAAGAGGAGTGAGGAGAGAGAAGACACATAATTCACCATTTAAACCATGATGGAATTAATAATCTGTGAATACTGGATTTATAAAACCATACCAATGGATCTTTGACGGCTCAGCAAGAACGAAAAAAAACTTTTTTCGACTCTCATTTTATGCTCTGGTAGATTACTGATTGGTATACTTATGGTTATAAAAAGCCTTTAAGTTGGACTCTCTTTTTTGTTCCGTTATAAATAATATGCCAGACTTTAGTTGGACTTTATAGAGAGAAGACATCTGTTTAAATTTTACCATGCAAACCAAGACTGGAACATGGGTAAGTCAAATTTTGCTAATCCGCTATTTTATACACTATGTGTGCAAACTTTTATATTTATGGTATTCATCTTATATTTTTCTCCATGCAATTAAAATAGTCTATCTGTATCTCCCTGTTGCTAGTAATTCCTTGTATGTCAACATTAATTTGTTCATCCATATATCTCAGGCTCAAACATACACCTTCACAAAAATAGAATTGTTCAGATTTTAAATGATAATATGTTATAGTATAGTAGTTTCCAAGTTCACCGATAAATGTAAATGCTTACACCTAAAACAAGACTTAGAAGGGTTAGTTTTTCATGTGTTTCTGATCAGAAATTAGTCATCAGTATGAATATGACTAATTATTTCTGACTGATAAATATTAGATCACCGCACTTCTTTATTTGAAAGAAATTGGTATATTTCTCGAAAAAGTGCCCATCAGTTATTTTCTATTTTCTCAACACAGGAAATCATGATATAACAACATCTCTGAAGAAAATGGAGGAAGAAGTAAATGCATGATGGCTGACGAGTCAAGGTCCATGATAGCTTTTGTCTCGAATCATTTAGTTCCTAATCTCACTACTGCCTTGTGGGGAACACATCCTACAGTTCCTGCCGACGTGGGAATCGTCACAAGCTCCCAGTCTCAAATAAAGGACTTATTTGGGTTGTTCTGCATGGTGACCCTTAATCTCATTGCTTTGTTGGCCAATGCTGGTCTGATGGTGGCCATCGCTCGTGCTCCTCACTTGAAAAGGTTTGCGTTTGTGTGTCACCTCTGTGCAGTGGATCTTCTGTGTGCCATCCTTCTCATGCCTTTGGGCATCATATGCAGCTCACCATTCTTTGGCACTATTGTGTTTACAGTGCTGGAGTGTCAGGTTTACATCTTTCTGAACGTTTTCCTCATTTGTCTGTCCATTCTCACGATCACTGCCATCAGCGTGGAGCGATACTTCTATATTGTGCACCCAATGCGTTATGAGGTCAAAATGACCATCAACCTTGCTATTGGGGTCATGCTCCTTATCTGGGTTAAGTCCTTCCTCTTAGCTTTGGTGACACTATTTGGATGGCCCGCATATGGACATCAGAGCTCCATAGCAGCGGCTCACTGTTCCCTTCACGCCAGCCACAGTCGTCTGAGAAGGGTTTTTGCTGTCCTCTTCAGCATGGTTTGTTTCCTGGCCCCTGCAGTTGTTATCTTCACTGTTTACTGCGCTGTGTACAAGGTGGCTCGCTCTGCTGCTTTGCAGCAAGTCCCTGTTGTAACAACATGGACAAATGCAAGTCCTGCCAAGGATCGATCAGACTCCATCAATAGCCAGACGACCATGATCACCACCACACGCACTCTGCCCCAGAGACTATCACCAGAGAGGGCCTTCAGCGGCGGCAAAGCTGCCCTTACCTTAGTGTTCATCGTAGGGCAGTTCTTGGTTTGTTGGTTACCTTACTTCATCTTCCACCTACAAATGTCCCTGACCAGTTCCATGCAGAGCCCTGGGGACTTAGAAGAAGCAGTCACTTGGCTTGCCTACTCTTCCTTTGCAGTCCATCCATTCTTCTATGGCATGTTGAACCGACAGATCAGGGACGAGCTGGTGAAGTTTCGACGTTGCTGCTTGACCCAGCCTGCGGAAATTGGGGCATCCAGCCAAGAGGGCTCGTTTCAGGAGAACTTCCTTCAGTTCATTCAGAGGTCCAGCAGCACACCTGATAATCGCTCATCTGGTGGAAAGTATGGTGCAAAAAACAAAACGGAACAGGCCAACAACATCCCTGGACAAATTCCAGAGGCATAAGCATGAACACTAAGCAATGACTATGAAATGCACCATTGAAGACTAGATTACCTTTTAATGCTTGTGAGCTATTTGTGATTCACATCAGGTTCACTTTTCAAGCTGCATGATAAAAGGAACTGCACCTGTAAACACAAATGTATACATTTACAAGGAATATATGTGTTTATTTTGTTCTTAAATTGTTTAATATCCTAACATTATGGCCAAAATACCAGAACCGTACATTTACAGAAAATTTTCGGTGATTGATTCTTTTTTCCTCCGCATCATTTCCACACTTTTTTCGGTTCATGTTAGAATAGACTTTTTTTAGATAATGTTTCTTCTTTTGTAAGCATGTAACTGCAATAACAAAACCTCAAATCGTTTAAATTGTACTTGCTTGTTTTTTCCTCATCCATTCAAATATAAAATGCCCCAACTATACATTTAACATGAATTACAGTGTAACATCTGTTAAATTCGTCTGCCATGCCTGCTTATTCCAATACAGGGTCATGAGGAGGCTGGAGACTCTCAGGGCTCCAGCCAGTCCATCACACATGATGACATGCTGTATGAATATATTATACAACCTACTACTGCCAGTTGTGTTCACATTTTTGAAGTGCTGAAAGTAAATGTTTCCTGGTCCTTTACATTGTTTTCATGGAATAACTTAATTAACACCATACCACACATTCTATAATTCCTTTCGTAATGCTCAGTGTGAGGCACTCCCATCAATCTGAGAGCTACTACCTCAGAGTTCCTACATGCAACAGATATGCAGATGAATGTTTAATGTCATCTCTACCTGTTGCCATGGAAATCGAGTGTGACTCACAGCTACAAAAACTGCTTTGTTGTATGCTTTAGATCCTTCGACGAAGTCTGCTAATTCTGCTTTTGAGGCCTTTAGGTTAAGCATCAGACTCAATACAATTTAAGGAGAAACTGAAGGTAGATGGCACACGATGCTCCTAATATGGACTAACTGTAACATGGACATGGTGTCTTAAGTGATTCGCCAAAGGTAATCATTACTGGGCATTGATGATGTACAGAGAGTGGTGACAAAGTGCGATTTTATGGCCTTTACTATTTGCATTAGTCTTTCATGAACGATGGAAAAGACAGAGCAGTGTTGTTCAGGCAAATAGTAGCAAGCAGCATTCCGCAGTGTGATTATCTCTTTCTGAAGTACACACCTCTCTCACGAAACTGTGGTTGTGTATCTAACACAACCATGGTACTAGGGCAGAAAGCTAATGACCACTGCGATAGCTTTCCCACCAGGTGGATATTGATATGGATAAACATGCAGGTGGGTATAGGAAACTGGGTAATTACCCGACTACAAGGATGTCTAATTTCAGTGGGACCCTTCCTCTGTGGCAAAGAAGATTTCACAGCTTTTCACACACCATACATGGTAAAAATGTATTCATCCCTCAGCTTTGTGTCCTTACCCCATCACGAATAAAAGACCTTCGACATCTGCCTTGCATTGTACTGTAACTACCTGTAAGATTACTCTGCACAAAGATGAGCTCAGGAATGATTTTGAATGGCAGTAACTTTAAAATCTGGATGAACAGGTTTACAAAATTGCAAGCTCATCTGTTAAATGTACCATGACTGCACAGTCCGGATCTGAGAAAAACAACAACCTTTTACAACGTGTGCTTGATTGTACTTTACACCACTCTAAACTTTCTCTTCAAGTATACTTATACCATGGGCTCAGTTGAATTATTACTGTTTATCTGTAAACATTAAATTAAAGAGAATTACATTTTTATTACTGTATGTGGAAGGTGAAGCTGATTCAACCACTGGTTTTGGGTGAAGACACAATAACAAGAAACAGAAAGAAATATCTTGGCCAACAGGGTGTGCTATGTCACCATAAATTTTTCTCCAGTCTGTTGGCTTGGACATCATTGTCTAAAAAGTCTTTGCACCCCCCCAAATTTGCTGTAAGATCAATATTATACATATATACTGTATATATATACGAATATGCTAATCTCTGTAGACATTATTATACCATAGTATATGGTATAGTATATAGCATAGTATTTACGCATAGTTCAATGATATGCCACAGGTATGTATGAATGACACATTTTGTTTGGAGTGTTAGGGCTTTGTGAGAATAAAATTAGATGATTAGATGGACAATATTTGCTGTGTTACTGTGTGTTAATTGGGGGGGTCTTGCTGGCAGCAATTTATGGACCAGTAACTTACATCCCCTCATTGAGCTCAGTTCTACATTGAAGCCCATTACACAGTGAGTGTGAGAGAAAACATAGAATAAACAGCCCTATAGCTCAGCCCATCACAAACCACTCCAAGTGCATGTAGTACAGGCAAGTACAGCAATGATCACTTCTTTAAGTATTTTTTAAATATAATCTGTATTATAATCCTCAAAGATGTTAGAACTCCACACCACAGATGCCTCTGGGCAGAGCCTCAACCTCATCTCATAAACCTCGGGATTGACTGCAAGGTTAATGTTTAATCCCAATGATACCTTTAGATTTATAATGGCAGGCACCATCTTAGTGCTGCATTCAATGACAAATGGAAAATTGTGCTTTCCAACCTCTGACCAAAATGCCATTTTGAAATTGGGCTTCCTGGTGGATATTTTGAGTTTCACTCAAATTATTGTTTTAGCATGATAACCCAATTAACCCACTTATCTGTCAGCCCACAGATATTAACAAACATATCTACTGATGATAAAAAGCATGGGCAAAGTATTAAGTTAAAATTGGCTTGACAGAGATGAGGAGGCTGGAACCTTCTACTATGGCATATATTCAAACCAAACCTCCTCCACACAAAGTGCTATGGCCATAACTTTTCTTAGTTTTTATGTCTGTAATGACTACGGAGACCTGAATAAATGCTCCTCTTAATAGAAGGGTTTTTGGTACAGTACAGTATGTTACAAAGCCCAAGCAAATGTGACAATAGTAGTATAATGTAAAAAAGGAATGGAAATGGAATGCAATGCATGACAAAACACAAAAGTGTAACTCTGGGAACTTTTGCTGAGAAGTACTTACTGCTGGATTTATTCATGTGAAATTGCATGAGGCTTTTGTGTGATGCTTTGTGGAACATTTAGATTAGACCCTGAGGGAATGCTGAAGAGTTTGCCCTGAGCTGTAGATGTTCCAGCTCAGTTCCAGCTGAGATAAGCAATTAGCAGGACAGCTCTGGACAAGGAGTTGGTGGAGTGTTGAGCAGCATGTATAAAATGGTCAAAAAACATATAATATTACCTTTAGATTCAAAGCAGGGCCAGAGTGAATCTTCGGATCATCAGCCTCACCATCAGCCTCACAATATCTATTTTGAAGTCAAGGGTCATTGTATTCCATGAGTGATGGATAATTCTCATGCAAGTATAAATTAGACTGTGTGTGTGTACTGTGTGACACACAGCCAATAAAGGCATTCCTCACAAGGGGTCAGGGCAGTCATCAGTGTACTATGTTCCACCAGGGTGTCAGCAACAAGCCGGCCATCCTCCCATTTCAGCTGCTCATCTTAATGTCTCCATTAACAGGAGACAGGAACACAGCTAAAATAAAGTGAAATGGAAGACGAGACAATAAACGCCACAAGACTGCCTGAAGAACTGGTGGACGTGAAGGTGGATGTACACTTTGAGGATTTGCATTGCAGTGATGTAAAGCCTATGATTCAAGACAGGGATCCCAAAAGAATCAACAACAGTCTCAAGGTATTTACCGTGCTCCGACACAAAAACAAAATCCAGCAGAAAACACAACAGACAGAACACATAGTGGGGACCATTCAACTCAGTATGGAAAAAACTAACATGTCAGTTAAATAGACTTGCCACCACGCTATAAAAGTCTCTGTGATATTCTGATCCAAATATGGTCACATTGTGTGTAATGTGTATAATTCTTAATGATCTACCGATTTAATCTGCTTAACTCTGTACCAAGACACTCTGTACTAATTTTCTATTATTATTTTTTAAACCACACAGACTGGTAACTATGTGAAAAAAAACTAGTTAGATGTCATTAACACAATACTGACCTCATGTGGACATTGCTGAGCTGTCTATGTTTATATAAAGACTCTATATGAATTGTTGTACCCACAGATATTATTTAATGTATAAATGAGAGTGCAAGGTAAGTTTGATCACAATTGTGTGTGTGAAAATGGAAATATATGGAAATCACTTTTAGCATCTGTCTGTTTGTGTCCTGAGGTTATGTTTGAGGATGTTATTGCAGAACCCCCCACTGTTCGAAGCTTTGATAAAGTCTGGCTGTGGAGTCATGCCCTGTTTGAGGTGTCCAGACTGTGGTGCTACCGCCTCATCTCCCTCCTGCTGGCTCTGCCTGTGTCACTGGCAGCAGGGCTCCTATTTGCTGTTTTGAGCTGCCTTCACATCTGGTAGGACTTCTGTGTTGATATGTATGTGTATGAGCCCCTAAACATACTACTAATTAATAAGGAACAGTCTGTGGTGGCTGCAGTATATCCAGTACAGTTTAGTTACCCTCAGGGAACAACATTACAATGGGTAGAGATACAGTCATATTTTATGTATTAAATTAGCTCATGTTTTGTCTTCCTGTTTGTTTCCTTGCAGGCTGATCATGCCCTGTGTGCAGCTCACTCTCATCAATATGCACTGGATCCAGACTGTGTGGGCCAGCATACTGAACATATTTGTCAGTCCTTTCTTTACCAGTCTCGGGAAGTGCTGTGGTCAAATCTCCATCCATCTGGCAAAAGATGAAAACAGATAGAATGCAATATTTATGCCATGAAAATAATTGGTTTGAACAGAACGTGCAGAGAAAAGTGGTAGCATATCGTTTGCAATATTTTCAGCGTAAACTTACATTGTTTGTGGTTGATTTCTATTACATGCTAATCTATATTGCCTGTCATGAAATTTGTCATGCGGATTTACATTTTAATGACAATGGCCACAAAGAAGCGTACTGTAACTATTTAATTCCAAAGATTTGAAATGTAGAACAAAATTAATATCACAAAACAAGAATATTTGTTTAAAAAGTATTTTGTTAATCTGGAAAAGTGTGTTATTTGAGCCAAGGAACAGGCCATACAATAATTCATAGTGCTGTCAAGCAATCATGTGCATGGGCTCATGTGCTTTTGAAAAAATAAAAGTTAGAATGTTGCTTTACTGTATTCATGTTCAATTACCACTAACATGTTCAATAAAAGCAAAAAATATGTTTAGGAAGTCTGTCATTGGACATGTGCCTCTATAAGACTCAGAATAGTTTGATCAATTGAAACCATTTGCTGAATGAATAATCAAATCCTTGCAATTTCTTAATTGAGTGTTCCAATTTACCTGAAGCATTATGTGCAATTGCACCTCTCTTTTGCTGTTGTGTTCCTTACCTGGCACAATATTAAAGCTAGCAGCATTTAAAAAAGGCAGATAGCATGTCAGAGTCCCTAAAATGATTCAGGGCAGAAGGGAGTAGAAATCAGAAAACCCATTCAGATGGGAACAGTTTCACCATGCCTGAGATTTTTAAAAGCGATGCATATTCACAGTTTCAGGAATTTGGCAAAGGCAATGCAAAAACAAAAGAGATTAACTGTTATCCTCCATTGCTCTTTTTTAACAGTAAAAGCTTTTTGCTGGAAGGCTTTCCATGATGGTCGAATGCAAGCAGTCTCTTGGTGCTTGTCCAGAAAAAAACCCAGCAGTTGTTTGAAATCTACACCGGCCACATGTTTTTCCTTTCTGTGAAATAATGTAAAACAATTTTCTGATCCCTTTAAATCCCCCAACAGACAAGTGGATATCACCATGTCTGACCACCATTTCTATTCTATTTATGACTACAACACACACCACATTTTGTGTGCCACCTCTTTGACCATCATTACGCACACACGCACACACGCACGCACACACACACACACACACACACACACACACACACACACACACGCATGCACACACACACACGCATATGTGTATATATATACATATATATATATATATGTATGTATCATACAAAAGGACGAGTGTTTTTTAATTTTCCATAAGAGCAACTTAACTGTATAGACATCCTTGAATAGTGAGGTATGCCCACTACCACTCTCTGCAGTGCTATTTCTGTCTGCATGCCTCAATTCCTAACTGTCTTCTTCTCTCTCCATTACCACACCAAGAATAGTCCTGTTATTGGCCTGGCACCCAATCACATGCACTCTGATCTCACACTACCTCTCCCACCTCATCTGTTTCTTTGCTACCATGGAACTAGGACAAGAAATGCCAGTCCACGCTTTGGAGTCATGCTTCCTGTTCTGTTTGTGGACCCGTCTGACTGAGACAAATAGCAACAGAAAGCTCTAAGTGCAGCGAGGTTTTGTACTACCTTTCACAGGGACCGTCTATGCCCCACCCTCTCTTTATCCTTCTTCATTTGGCAGTTTCATGGTATTTTTTTATGCAGCATGCTAATGCAGAAAGCGATGACAGATAGCAACAACTGCATAGCTTAAAGAAAGCTGAAGACTGAGTTTTATTTAGGGGTACGCTGTTTCCTCCCTCAATGAAATGTAAAATATCTGAACAGGCTGGCTAGAATCTCTGTCTCTTATGTAAAACAGTTTAAAAAAATTAAGGGGACAGAGTTGTTTTAATTTAATATTCATCATGAAAGTGGCCAACAAAGAAAGTCACATAATTTCTGTAACATCCACACTGCTTTTTCACAGTTTATGGGTGTGGTGTGTTGGAATGAAACATTGTTGACTGCAAATGTATTTAGCGTGAAATATTAGCTAAACTTTCCAATTAAACCATCCAAATGCCGAAGCACATAAATTGTTTTCTAGTCAAGTGTAAAATAAGATAATCTTCCTCCTCCTTGGAGAAATTGGAAAGTACAGATGTTCATTATCCTGCATCATTTACTTGTAAATGCAGAGCATTTTCGTTATTTTAAGTGCAGTCATAAGACACACATTTAGTTTGGTCTCAGTGAAGGCCAGACCATCAGTGTGTTCTTGCTGCCTCACTTTGTATTGGAAGTTAGTACCACTGTGCAAACCCAGCCCTGTTAGTTTGACAACTCCATGTGAAATATGACACAGCACTGGGTTCTCTTTTAAAGCATTCCTTTTTTGTCTGTGCTCACTACATTGTGTGCATGTGTGTGAGCGTAAACTTTCCCTGTGTGGGTCCTCGCGTGTATAGGGTGGGGTAAGGTCTCCATTTTTACCAGGACGCCTCCAACAGCTGTCCCTTGGCATGTCAACGGGAGTGCCAGTCTTCCTACAGGGATCAGAAGTGAACTCAGACGACAGCGTCCAGAAAGGCTTTACCTCTCTGTCTCTGGCAAGACCCAGAACTTCACCCCCACCATGGCGGATCAGTACCAGTACAACGCCAATGAGGAGAAGATTGTGAAGGATAGCCATACCAAAGAGATTGATCTAATTAACCGAGACCCCAAGCAGATAAATGAAGACGTGGTGAAGGTTTGTGCAGCATGGAAAATCCAACTTGTCGTAGAAAGCTTTACAAAATCTCTGTGTATTAAAATGGAGACAAATTGATAATGTTATTGCTTGGAACAAAGGCAGGAGATCTGGTTATTGTGCTGCCATAAAATAATGCTACAAAAATAGACTGGGAGCTATTTATGTTGCTTGTGCACTAAGCTTATTTTGGGAACGAGTCAGTGAGGTTGGAAACTGATACCCTGTCCCGTCGTGTTTCCCTGAGGTTGTTGGGTATACTTTAGTCGTTGCCATGTAACCTATAAGAAAAACTTTTTGCAAACAATATTGATATTTTAATTAAAGCTAGAAGGCAAACGTTAACGTGGCATATGAGAATGGTTAGTCACCAGTTGTAGTTGAGCAACTTTGCCAGGTCAGTTTGAAGCAATTTTCTCACCTGCTTATGTCCATTGTCAGACATCTACACTATTAAAAGATTGCATATTTGTAACCTGTAAATGCTCGGGGGAATTACTTATAAAAGTCCCTTTTTCTGCACATTTAAAATCAATTAAAGCATTTCTTGGTGGGAAATTCAGTTAATCAATTTGTCTTTCATGAATGTCCATTAAAACACAATCCAAATTTAGTCCAATCTCTACTAAAATTATCCAATTTGCCAATTTGAATCCTTAGAATTTTTGTCTAGTTATTCTTAGAAACTTTTTTTTGGTTAGGAACCAACCAATGTTGCAAAAGTTGAAACCAACTGTTTATGTCCAACCACTCATTCAGAGGATGATCTTGGCATGTTTGGCTTCTTTCCTTACAGGACCCACTTTTATTACTTCTTAGACTTTGCCCAACTCATTTTTTGGATGGTGACAAAGGGTTTTGAATGTGAAGTGAATCTACTTGCTGAAGCATGATTGTTAACAAGCTGATTTTGTTGTTGAGTCTCAGGTGAAAATGGGATGGTCAGATTTTCCAAAAGAGCAAGAGGCATTTTATGAAAATCAAAAATTGATTATTCTATTGTAGAGTTGCTTATATTAATTTTGCATTAGCCTTGCTCTTATTGATGTAAAATGTACCGGGGAAAAGCATTTTGACTGATCAGGGTGCAGCATTAAAAGCCACTTTACAAAGCTGCCTTTTTGAAAGTGTACGCAGTGGACAGAAAATGATTTTCTCTGCATAATTTTGACCCAAACATTCAATACAAATTTAATATGGACAAATGCTTTCTTAAATGGTTTGAAAGCTGTATGCTTGTACTAATGCGGTCCTCTTTAAAAATGTCTTACTAGGTTGAGTTTGAGGATGTCATCGCCGAGCCGGATGGTACGCACAGTCTGGATGGCGTGTGGAAGCTCAGCTACACCACCTTCACCGTGTCCAAATACTGGTGCTACCGTGTCCTGTCTGCTGTCTTTGGTATTCCTGTCGCTCTGCTCTGGGGCTTCCTGTTTGCCTGCATCTCGTTCTGCCACATCTGGGCGGTGGTTCCCTGCATCAAGAGCTGCCTGATAGAGTCACAGTGCGTGAGCCGCATTTACTCTCTCTGCATTCAGACCTTCTGTGATCCATTCTTCGAAGCCCTTGGCAAGATCTTCAGCAGTGTGCGTGTGGCATTGCGCAAAGAAGTCTAAGAACTTCCAAGGTAGTGTTTTAAGTATGATCGGATGAATTGTGGTATGTTTTATAATCCAGAAATCAGCCCTGGCATCTTACCTTGACCCTCACACTCCTCTTCCCATTTTCTTTTCATTATAACATGCCGGTCCCCACCCTGTAGCCTCAGACGTCTGAGGCCTGACATACCCAGTGTGCATTTTGGCACAAGACGTGCTGCGACAGCTGCAGTGGGCAGTATGGTTCTCTGATAGCTCTGGCACCTTTACATGCTTCTAACTTAAGAGGGATGAAGATGAGGGGTGGTTGTCATGAGGAGGATCAGACCATCCACATTTATTTGATTCACAAATATCTCAGCCAACTTCTCCTTATTCACAGAAAAAGGAAGGAACTGCCAACACTGCTCCACCTGTGGATTATGCTTCTGTGATCATAGCGTTTCATATTCGTAAAAAGTTTTTATATTTTTTTCTGCTATTGATTTACTTTTCTTTTGCTCACTATACACCTTATAAGAATGGAAAAATTGTGATGTGTTTTCTTCACAAGCTTTGAAATGCATTTTGATGTTGTTTTCTCTCACATTGAATTGGAAAATCCAAACTATCTGAGGAGGACATCTGGAGGAGCAGGGACAGTCTTGAAGATTAAGTAACTGAATGTCATAAATGGAACAATCATTCATCATAATCTTTTTCTGTGTGTATATTTCAGGCCAGGTAGAGCTATGTGCTGACTTGACTACCAACATAACATAAACACACTGCTTGATTTGTTGTATTCAGTCATTTTCAATATTGTTTTGATAGGGATGTAGTAAACTACAAGAGCTATGTTTTTACTGAGTAACTTGCTGAAATTAGATGATTAAATTATATGAGTATGTATGGTATGAATATGTATGGCATCATGTTAATAGCATGTTTAATTTTTTTCAGAAACTAAGATGGTATTCTGTAAATCCTCAATCGTTCTGGAAGCCCTATCTGAAATTTGACCCACAAGAGGATGCTGTTTTGCATCTTTCGTGTGTTTTCTCTCTCTCTCTCTGAAACACATTCTTGATGATTCAGTGTCACCACACCCTTCTTTGTTTATAATCCCAGTGTTTTTCATTCATTTTGCTCAGAAGTAGTTCATACAGCTCAGAAAAATTGTGTTAAAATTCCTAAACAGTTGCTGAGATCTATCATCAATAAAAAAATAACATAAAAGCTTCAGCTGTTCATTTGAGTACATCAAAAGCAATACCCATGCCAATGTCCACTTATATAGTTATATTATGACCAAACATGAACATTGAAAATATGCTCAATAAAAAAAGAAATGATATACAAGTGTATAATAATGTTTAAGGATTTTTTCAAAGAGTCATTACGGTAAAATCAACTGTGTTTTTGTGGTTTATTTACATACGTATTAATTCATTAACGAAGGCTGAAAAGCATAATAATACTTTCTCAATAAAGTGAAGACAGTTACAGGACAGTTACCTCCCTAATTAAAACATGTAACATACGCATCTATTTTTCATTATGCTTTGTATTCAATGCTGGAGCTATACAGAGGTTTAAATATCAAATGACTCTTCATGGCTCAGATATCTTTTCTTTCAGCATTTTGGAACTACGCTTTTTGTAGGGTTTCAGCTCCAGGGTTAACAGTGTGGGCTCTGATGCAGCAGCAGATTCAGCATATTCATTTAAGAAATTGCAATGAAAAGGTAAGGGGTGTAGAGTTCAGAAAATCCCTTGATCCTAGAGTCAGACTATGATATCAAAAGATTTTTCATCAAGGGCAATCTGCTGATTGCTGCAAACAGTTGTTAATGCTGTTTACTGCAGTGGTGCAGAGGTGGCGGCTGGCAGCTGGGTATACAGAGAATACGGGTAAGTCTATAAACAAATTCATAAACATACAGAGACTGACCAGGCAGTTGAGTCTCTGATTAGACTCGTCCTTGGTCTTCAGAGCTGCAGCGAGGTAGACCCTGGATGTTGGATGGACCTGTTAGAAAATATAACTATTTTGCTGTTGCTTCATGCTTTGCTGTTAAGGTCAAATCATCAAAATTCTCAAATGGATCTGTTATATTCCTCTATCTATACTTGTTGTTTGACTTTTCTGACTGGATAACTGACTTCTAATTTGTGATATTTAATTGCGTTCAACAGGTTGTCACGTCTGGGGGAATGTCTGGTGTCTCGTCATGTCTTGATTACCTATTGTGTACACCTGGGGTTCCCCTCCCTCATATGTTTAAATAGTCCTCGTTTCCCATGTCCCGTGTCAGTGTGTTTTTTGTCTTCGTCACTTTTCGTCACCCCTCGCCACGTAAGGTTTGATTTTTGTCACAGCCATGCCATAGTCTTGTTTTCCTTATTGCCATAGCCATGTTATTGTCACAGCCTTGCCACAGTTTTGTTCATCTTTATTTGCACTTTGCCACAGCCATGCCACAGTCTTGTTAACCTTATCGCTTTGATACTTTGTTCATAGTTTTTTTCACAGCCTTGTTTTGAACTTTGTCAGCATCCACTCCGTTTGAGTGTGTTTTGTTGCAATAAAACCCTTTTCACCAATCTCCGCGACTGAGTCCTCCCCTCGTGACACAGGTTCCAATTTTCCAGGAATGTATTAAAGCAGCAGTTTAAAAAAAAAAAATGATGTTGGCCATATGTAATGTTTTTGTTGCCTAGCCAGAAGTCAATCCACTCTGCAAGTGTTTTATCCTGATATTCTGTTAAAGGAAGAGAAACATAAGAAAAGCCATAAAGGTGCTCTGCAAATGCAAAACAGTTACCATTTAATTACTCCGGAAATTGTCAGCTTGTGAAAAAGATTGACATGAGTATGTAGCAGACAGATATGAGCTGCCGGTTTCAGCAAGGCCTTCACAGTTAGTCAGCATAAACTTGTGGCCCATTGCCTTCCAGATGGCCCACAAATCTTCCCAAGCTCAAAGCTTTCTGTAAACATGAAACAAATACACCCCAGACAAGATGTGACAGATTTCATTGCCGTAGAAAGCTTCTCTCAGCTATGATCCTCGCCAAATTAAATGAACATTTTCGGAAGTAGAGCAAAAGTTTTTCGCTTGTTAGTTAGCAAGCTGTAAGCTTTCCCTAAATATTCAACTTCTAAGAATTAGGAAATAAAATTGTTGAATTTCTATTTGTATTTGTGAATGTATTGAGATGTAGATGAATAGCTTAAACAACTGATCTGTATTATAGGTCAGTCTACTATAGTATGTGAGTACTAAATACAGTGGGGCAAAAAAGTATTTAGTCAGCCACCAATTGTGCAAGTTCTCCCACTTAAAAAGATGACAGATGCCTGTCATTTTCATCATAAGTCAACCTCAACTATGAGAGACAAAATGAGGAGAAAAAATCCAGAAGATCATTTTGTCTGATTTTTTAAGAATTTATTAGCAAATTATGGTGGAAAATAAGTATTTGGTCACCTACAAACAAGCAAGATTTCTGGCTCTCACAGACCTGTAACTTCTTCTTTAAGAGGCTCCTCTGTCCCCCACTCATTACCTGTATTAATGGTACCTGTTTTAACTCGTTATCAGTATAAAAGACCCCTTTCCACAACCTTAAACAGTCACACTCCAAACTCCACTATGGCCAAGACCAAAGAGCTGTCGAATGACACCAGAAACAAAGTTGTAGACCTGCACTGGGCTGGGAAGACTGAATCTCTAATCAGTAAGCAGTTAGGTGTGAAGAAATCAACAGTGGGAGCAATTATTAGAAAATGGCAGACCTACAAGACCACTAATAATCTCCATCGATCTGGGGCTCCACGCAAGATCTCACCCCGTGGGGTCAAAATGATCACAAGAACGGTGAGCAAGAATCCCAGAACCACACGGGGGGACCTAGTGAATGACCTGCTGAGAGCTGGGACCAAGGTAACAAAGCCTACCATCAGAAACACACTACGCCGCCAGGGACTCAAATCCTGCAGTGCCAGACGTGTCCCCCTGCTTAAACCAGTCCATCTCCAGGCCCGTCTGAAGTTTGCTAGAGAACATTTGGATGATCCAGAAGAGGATTGGGAGAATGTCCTATGGTCAGATGAAACCAAAGTAGAACTTTTTGGTAAAAACGCAACTCGTCGTGTTTGGAGGAAGAAGAATGCGGAGTTGCATCCAAAGAACACCATACCTACTGTGAAGCATGGGGGTGGAAACGTCATGCTTTGGGGCTGTTTTTCTGCAAAGGGACCAGGACGATTGACCCGTGTGAAGGAGAGAAAGAATGGGGCCATGTACCGTGATATTTTGAGTGAAAACCTCCTTCCACCAGCAAGGGCACTGAAGATGAAACGTGGCTGGGTCTTTCAGCATGACAATGATCCCAAACGCACTGCCCGGGCAACAAAGGAGTGGCTTCGTAAAAAGCATTTCAAGGTCCTGGAGTGGCCTAGCCAGTCTCCAGATCTAAACCCCATTGAAAATCTTTGGAGGGAGTTGAAATTCTGTGTTGCCCAACGACAGCCCCAAAACATCACTGCTCTAGAAGAGATCTGCATGGAGGAATGGGCCAAAATACCAGCAACTGTGTGTGAGAACCTGCTGAAGACTTCTAGAAAACGTTTGACCTCTGTCATTGCCAACAAAGGGTATATAACAAAGTATTGATATGGACTTTTGTTTTTGACCAAATACTTATTTTCCACCATAATTTGCAAATAAATTCTTAAAAAATCAGACAATATGATCTTCTGGATTTTTTTCCCTCATTTTGTCTCTCATAGTTGAGGTTGACTTATGATGAAAATGACAGGCATCTGTCATCTTTTTAAGTGGGAGAACTTGCACAATTGGTGGCTGACTAAATACTTTTTTGCCCCACTGTATGTGGGAATGTATTTTTTTATGTTGCTACCGTATGTTGTTGTATGTGCAAAAACTCTGTGTGCGGGTATGTGTGGATGGAAAACACATTGTGAAGCACCTATAAAGGTTCATATTTAGATATGGCCCTCATATCTACAGCCACAGTGGTAACCATCCTTAAGGCACATTAGGTGCAGCTCTTAACGCTTGAATTCACAATTTCCTTTGACTGAGAGGGCAATTTCAAATTTGAATGTGTTGCTAACAAAGATTGCATGATCCCAAAAACAGGAGCAGGATCTTTTCAATCTGCTCAGAATGCAAAACAAAGAACGGGAGAGAAAGAGCTGAGTGTAAATGACCAAGTCGTCTGCAGTCCATTTTGCTTTAATTGTTTTTAATCATTTAATACATTTTTATCATTGACAGCCAATACACCGTACGTCTAAGAGGAGCTGAGGTAACAGTTAAATGTGTTAATTATGTAGTAAAGTGAACAACAGGATACATTACAGTATATTATACCAGAACCATTTCAGCATTACATAGACAAATAGGATCCAATAGCTTTGCTGGTGGAAAACTCTAAATCACTAATGTGGTTGACACACATTGAAATTCTTCAGATACTCTCGTTTAATAATTTTCTGTACAAAGACATACATCTGTACATCTCAATTAGAAAAAAGTCTTGAGAAAAAAAGACGTTCCATTTAACTTCGCAAGTCAGTCCATGATTACTTCCTTTAAACAAATAACATTTCACTTTTACATCAGAAATTTTAATTTTACAGATACATTTATATTTTATTCTGAAATGAAAAATAGTGTGATTTTTGTCGACTCTTTCTTTCCTTGCTTTAGCAGCAACCCTTGTGGTGAGAGGTATTCAAAGAAATCGAAGTGCTGTAAAATTTATGGGCAACGGCATGTAGTGAAAAGCTGCGTGGGCGGCTGAATGGAGGGAAAAGATGGGAGCAGGTGCTTAGGTAGTAGAAGTCTGCGTGATGCTTCTCTGACTGCTTGTGCTCTTAATAGCAAACGTGGAGGAGTTGCTCTTGTGACTAGAGTCAAAGTCCCGCTCGCAGCGGCACTGAGATGACTTCAGGTAGCGAGCGGAACAACACAGGAAGTTCTGCCTCAGGTCGTGGAAGAGATGCCCGGCAAAGCACATGTAGATCCAAGGGTTGCAGCAGCTGTTGAGGCTTGCCAGCAGCATGGAGATGATGAACGGCATAGCTGTGTGAGGGGAGAGACAGGGAAAATTTTGGTAGAGAAATGGAAAATACAAGTTATTTTTTTACTTATTTAGATAAAGCTGCCGTGGCTGGTATAAACATGTTCACACCGTGGAGGGGCTAGTGACAAATTCTAGCTTTCACAGGGCATGAAATTGAAGTTGATGTATGCCTGATCAACTATTTTTTCAGATTCTGTACTTTGATAAAAGTCTTGCAAAGAACACCTTCGCTTCGGTTAAGGCTATACCTTTAGTTATTTGAAGTCAGTAGATCACAATATTTGTCGTCCCCCTGAAAGATGCCTGACTTGTTCGCAGGAAAAACCCGACCTGATGATGAAACAACTTGTTTGTTGGCTTTGAGAGGTAACATCACTTGATTTTAGTTATGAAGGAATATTATTTGTGTTGATTTAGAGACTAAAATTTTCAGTTTGAAGTTTCACATTATTTGGGTGCAATTATGGGCTGTCTCTAACTCATGGACACGTTCGGAGAGCAACAGTTTAGCATTTTCATACTTTCATAATTGATACACAGACATTCACACATAATTTACAACTGTTGACCATCAGAGCTACAATTAACCCTGCATATTGTAAATAATAAATACAATAATACATATTATTGTGATTAATTCCTACAACTTCAATGGAGGTTTATTGTATTGTAGTTATTATTTTCTTAGCAATCTTTTCTTGTTTTTATTATTCTAAAAGTGGACCTAATCACACTTTGATTTTCAGGAGAGTTTTCATCCAAACTCCCAAACCGTTATCTCAATAGAGCACCTGTAAAAGCAGATTATTTAACTTGTCACTACAGGGAACGCAAAAGTGGGATTACTGTTGGTCAGGCTCCATTAGGTGTCCCAGTGAGCCATGACAATGAGCTAGTGGGAGCAAAAGCAAACCTTCCCTTAAGTGGAATACAGCTGGCACTGTTGCACCTGTGCTCATTTAGTGTGTAAAAGGCACATAAATACTCTTATTTAGCCATATTAGTGATGTCACTATGCTATAGCAGTGCATCAGCATGCTATAGCATGGATCAGTTAGTCCACTTTAATCCAGACAGTCTCTTTTCAGACTAATGCTGGAAAATCATACATTTACCTTCAGTCTTGTCTGACAATAAAGAGAAGGATTTTGCTTCAACTACGACTACTACTACTGCTAATAATAACAATAATAATAATGATAATAATAATTATTATTATCATTATTATAATTATAATAATAACAATAATAATATGCATTTTGGTCTGGTGCCCCTGCTTGGATGGAAGTTGGGATGGATGAAACCAGTTGCAGCTTAAATATGGTGCTTTTGCATGAATCTGGTCCACTGTCAGCAATAACAGGTACGGCCACGATACAGTTTTTCCTCTGAGACACTTTTCTTGCTTGGTCTCTCAGTGGATTTTAACATAATTAGTTACCAGAATGAATCTCCTCCAAGAATGTCCTTTATAATTTCTTCAATTCTTTTTTAACCAATGATTGATTCTATGTAACAGTATAAAATATTGCCCAGAATTAAAGCCAGTATGGATTAAATAAATAAATAAGATCCCTCAACAAGTGGATAAGACACAGGAAGCGTATGGTATGACAGTTAATTAGGAGAGGTTAGAAACCCTGTGTGTTTAACACATGATAAACATGCGCAAATAATATATGCATCCATTTATTATTAGTTCAGAGTTTGCCAGACATCACCAAACACATTGCATGAATGAAGGCTTCCTTTCAGTTGTTTGCTATATTGTGTACAAGCGGATTCGCGGAATCGGCTGAGATTACATGTTCCAATCATAAAGGTCGTACTATGTAATTGTGGCTGGAGGCGCTGTCTTTTAGTTAATGAAATCACTGGCAATATTAAAAAGAAAAAAACAGGAGCTTGACACTCGTGTAAATTGGGTAAGTCTCCTGTTTTTTGGGGAAAAGGTGTCTGTTTTGTGCACTCAGCAATCTAATGCTGATCTTGTACAACAAAGTGACTTCATTATTCACTCTTTGATTATTGGAATCTGAGGAGTGGAAAGGTTTATTCCACAACGTCGTGATGATAAATTACAAAGAAGAACCTGAAGTGGCATGCTGGATGATATTTACACTGTGAACTCCACTGTCCACCTGACATTTCTATTTAACCTCTTCTTAGTGGTTACTAATCTTTTTCGCGGTCTGTCAGAACTCCTGATATTCTAATCATGTCTCTCCCTGAGATGTAATAAAAACGGCATCCTAAATGATTTCTGGAAGGGCAATTGAGAAACAATCTCATTACAGGGTTCAGATTACGAGACTAAACATGGATCCAAAATTGAGAAATCCACTCAGCCGCTTTTATTTTTTACAGTGTCATAGGTTTAATAATCTCCGACAGACAGTGCAAAAGACCAAATAGTTCTTATCAGGGATTTATTATCAAGGCCGATAAGAGCGCAGCTTGGACCTAATTTGAATAATAGGGGGCACTATCATGAATGAGCTTTTGCTGAATTGGCTCATGGGGTCTTTCACGGGGGATGATAGATCACAGAGCAAATGAAAAGACAGACTAATCATCCCCTGGGTGGTACATCTGTATGGCTGTCAGAGCTGATACTCGCCAGCCCAAAAAACGCTTCGGCAATTCATTTAAGGCTGATTCTTGTTCCCTGATGGTAAACAAGCCAATTGAGGAAACCTCATTTGGATTCCCTCATTAAAAGATATTTATAGCCAAAACTGCCTCTGAGATTGAATTGTTTCTTGTTTCTTGAAAAGATAGGACAAGTTGTGACCTTTTGAAAATGAATTGAACACTGGACACTGAGCCAGTCGTGCCCCTTAATGCAAATCAATAGTGCACTGAGTGTGAGACGCACTGCAAGGGCGCCCAGCTCAGAAGGGACATGTTTATATCAATTTTTTTCCCCCGTGTGAGCGTCTAATCCCATTTGTTTAACCTTCATCATCTTTTGTCTGCTCCTTATAGGAAATTGGTCTGACTGATAAATGTGAAATCACACACAGATTTGCAGTGTTTTAAATGGATTACAAATCGTGCATATACCCAAAATAATGTTGCAATTAAATTATTTGTGTCTGTAAATCACCTGTTATATTGAAAAAAATAACTTACAAATAATTCAATTTAGACCATCCCTGACCTCTTATTCATTATTGTCTCTGATCCATTCTGACATCCAAAAGCGTCTTTAATATCATTAAAACCTGACAGGTCCAGCTTTATATATAACGTATTATGTGAATGTTACATCTGCATAATTCATGCTTTGTTTTTGTTAAACTGTCATTCTCTTTAATCACATTTTGTAGTGCAGAGATTTTTCCCCTTGAATGATTTTTTATTTTCTGAGCTGTCTGTCCTGGGCTCAATTTCTTTCTCTAATTGACACTTTATCTGCACACACAGATGCCACTCTCTTTTGTACACAAACACTGGCACGTGTCGCTGCCAACCCTGCCATTTATGTGTGCTGTTCACGTTCAGATCTCGCCCTCCTCCCTGTTCTGATGCAGCCTCTGCAAAAAGGAATGAATTAATCCCTTTTTTTTTCCTTGCTCAGGCTGAAGTCGCTGCTCATCACTGGCCACTGTTACTCATTATCACAGAGAGGGTTGGTGTCAGAGTCTATTACTATTTCATCTAGCAATATGCTTCTGCTCATAATGCTTCAGCCAAGCTTCTGGCAGTTCAGTGTAAATTGTTGGTATGAACAAAGCACTTTTAAGTGGATGATTTACACACATCCCAAAAGCCATGGAGAAGGTCAGCATTCCAAGAAATGTAATGTTTAGTCTTCTCAGAAAGACGTCTCTTGATGTTATTTGTCTTATTCTTTTAAAATATGTCAGGTTTATCTGACTTGGCCTGTCACGCCTGGGGGAATGTCTCGTCTTGATTACCTATTGTGTACACCTGGGGTTTCCCTCCCTCATGTGTTTAAATAGTCCTCGTTTCCCCTTGTCTGGTGCGGGGTCGTTCTTGTCTTCTTGTCTCTTGTCCTTTCGTCCGTCGTCACCCCCACGCCAGGTTTGTTTCGTCATAGTTCTGCCACAGCCACAGTCATAGTCACGTTTTTGTCATAGTCTTGTTAATCTTTATTTTGTTACTTTGTCATAGTTTTTCCACAGTCTTGTTTGCTTGCTTTGATACTTTGCCCACAGTTTGCCACAGCTTTGTTTTGTACTTTGTCTGGACATTCACCCTGTTTTTGTTCAATAAACCTTGTTCCCCTCATCTCCGCACCTGAGTCCTCCCGTCAACACCCACCTCCCTGACATGGCCTCAAGGAAGGTTTTGTTTTTTACTCTCGGCTTGCAACACTTTACCTTGTGGTAGAAACATTACGAAACACAATGTTTTTTTTGTTGCTTTCTTATGAATAAACAAACCAGCTAATCTCTTTAATGGTAATTTAAAAAAAAAAACAGGATAAAAAAACATGACCATCCACTTCTTTTCCGGATAAAGAATAGTCACATTCTAATTTTATAATTACTACTATTAATCTTTGAATCCTTAATTCGTTTCTTGGAAGATGAGAGAACGAAAACAGGTACACAGTGGCACAGTAAACCTTTTGCAGGTGTGGCCACAGCCAAGCTCATCCGTGACTACATGCGGTAGGTGGCTGCTATGACGCCTGTTGTGGTTAAATGTCAACGTCCCCCAGCGGCACCAGAGGCTGCTGGACGCGCAGTGGCGCACACTAATTTGATTAATGATTAGCCGTCAGGGTCTCGGAGCGCCAGGGCAGTCAGAAGAAAGTTGGAAAATTCCATGCGCATCCGTTACTTAAACAATAGAAAATAAATGTTCTTCATCGCGTAACATTAGGTACAAATAGAGGGGCTTTACTATTTCTAAAAGCAACAAAATAGTCCTCAGCGTTATGACATCCTTGAGTTTGGAAAGCTCATACAACGTTTTCCAAATAACTTTGATTCCATTATGGATTTGCTTTGTCTGAAAGAAGACACATCCCCAATTTCCCAATAACCTAAACGTGAGTTGTCTGTTGAGTCACTTCGGCTGTTCAAACTTAAAGCCTGACAGATTTCATATATGTGGAACAATAGGACAGGCTGCTTGCCGTTTTCATTTCTTTTCCTCTATTATTGCGCAACTCGTCACAAACTCGCACTTGTGCGTGACCAGCGCTGATGTGCAAATCGAGGAGTATGGAAGATGATAATTTCCATGTCTGGAAAATGTGAGATGATGGATTCTGTGTTGGTGTCACAAAAATGTTCCAGATATGTAAGATAACATGTGGCTCAAATAGCGCACCGGCGCGCACAGGTTTTGATGAACTCTAGCCTACCTTCGCGGGGGGCTGCTGGATCCCACGCAGACCACATCTGGACTGAGAAAAAGGGGGTCCAACACACGATGTACGCCACGACGATCACAAAAGTCATTTTGACGGTGGTTATCTTCGCCTTGGAGATGAGCTTCACGCTGCTGACGCGCGCCAGCGTGTTGCTTTTGTATGTTTTGGGCGTCAGGCTTATGCACTGCTCCCGTCTGGTTTTCAACTTAAAGTTTTGCCAGATTTTGAAGCTAATCAGCCCATAACAGATGCTCAGAATCGCCACAGGAATTATATAGATAGTGAGGCTGATCCATGTAATGTAAGCTTTGGCTCCCCAAGGTTTCACAAAGTCGCCCCAGCAGTCGTAGACTCCTGAGCCCACCTCTCTGAGGGAAAAGATGAACATTTGCGGGACACTGAAGAGCAGGCTCAGGATCCAAGAAATGATGACATAATAACGATCTTTTCTCCGGTGCAGAGAACGGAGAGGCTGACAAATGGCCAAACACCGGTCCACGGACATTAAGACCAACATGTAAGTGGAGGCAAACATCCCAACTACCTGCAAGTATTTCACCAACCTGCACAAAATGTCCGGTCCATAGAAGCGAAACGTGATGTCCCAGATAAGTTGGGGGAGAACTTGGAATATAGCCACGACGAGATCAGCAATACTGAGGTGCTTCATGAAGTAATACATGCGAGACTGGCTGTGTTTGGTGGTGTGGATGGCCAGCAGGACGCACAGGTTGCCCACCAGCGCCAGAAAGAGCACCAGAGCGAGCACAGTCACCTCCACCTTCGCCACCTCCTCGTTGCGTTTCAGGGGGTTCGTCTGATTCAATTCACCGGTCCAGTTAAAGAGGCTCGAGTTCCTCCAGGATTCGTTGAATGGCCAAATGTCACTTTGATTGGAAGTAGTTTCCATTGCCGCAGTCTCGTCCTCTGCAGATGCGTCAGGGTTGTGCAGCCGCGCAATGCTTCGGTCACCTGGAGGGTCTAAAGTGCCAAAGTCCTCTCCTCAGAAGTGACAAGAGGTATGTGTGGTGAGGTTCAATCTTGTCGGCTGACAGAAGAAGGGATTCACGTTGTCTTGGACGTCACCCATGCTTTACAAAAGCAGAAGAAGTGAAAAGACCAGATGTCTTTGAACATGTGGTCAAATAAATGCACAAGGTGCAGAGGACAGCACTGTAGACTTTTGAGATAATGGTGTCAAAAATCGAGCAAATAATGGACAACATTAGCCAAAGCTAACTCCACAAAAACAAAGTCAAAACACCCCCCCAAAAAAGGAAGGTTGTGATCTATCAAATAGGCAAAATTGCTCTCGATGACTAATTCAGATGTTACAAACGAGAGAGGAAAACAACTCTGCTGAAACTGAAAGCTCCACCATCATCACTGGTACGATTAGAAATGACCAACACCAGAGCGCACGAGCCCTGTTATAAAGCAGAACAGTGTTTAAATCGTCACTACCACTAGGTGGCCATGGACACTTATCATCAACATGACTGTTCAGCTTTTCATCCATAGTACCAGATCTATTCTAAATCACAGACTTTAGAAGATTCCACGTCAGATGTGAAGGAAAGACACTAATTTAAAGATACAATTGTATATAAATTCTATGTATAGAAAAGCTGAGATGAAGAGAACGGTGACTGACACACTGGAGTGAGTATGATTTGTTTCTTAATGTTGCCATGTCCAACAGAAATGTTCTGTTCTTGGAGAGGTTAAACTCAGATTTTTAGATGAATTACTGAACTTTAGCTTTGAATTAACGTCCAACCAGTTATGTCTGAAGGATATGGATTGGGTGTAAAAAGCACCCAAAAAAAAAATGTGGTCAAATTACTGCGAAATCATACAAATGTAACTGGTCTGACGGTTTAAACCTAATTAAAAAGCAAAAAGAACTTGAAAGAAAGCTTTGTTTTATACAAATGAGTTCTGTCAAGAGTAAAAGGCAGAAACCATTTAAATACTAGCCTCATACAGAGTTATGGGACCAGGAACACAATCATGTCTTCAGACGTGTTCTGGAAACTGAAGTGTTTTACAATGGACTGTTTTAAAGCTGACATGGCAAAGTGTTCTCTTATCAATTAACCTCTATTATTGAGCAAGTCACATCAGCAGTTTAAGAGATCTGAGGTCTGAACTCAAACTAAGAGCAGAGGTGTTAAAAATTGTGCTGCAGATGCCAGCCTGTGTAAAGCTTTCAAAAATCTGGAAGTAACAGAGTTTTTGGAACGGGACATTCTTTTTTACCTGGATGTAGTTGTAGTCTGCAATATCAGAGACCCACTTTTGAGGAGAAACAATAAAAGGATAGCACCCATCTTCATCCACATCATCATAAACATCATAAATACATTCTTTTTGCTAACATATCAAAAGGCATCTGAATGAATGTTGGACGGGCTAGAATAATAAAGTCTAACAGATCTTCTGAGGACATAAACAAACAAAATAAAACAAAGACAACAGTGTTGAAACTGGGAGATGTTAATATTTTATATAACAATACACGCACACACACAAAGTAGAGTTTGAACACCTCGTTATCAGCACACAGGTCCACATACATCATAGAGGTGTATTTGTTATCATGAAATGATTAACATTCACATTAGTGAAGGCTTCATTGTGTAGCAAAATTTATACCATGCCTGGAGCAGTACAAGCTTCCATCCAAACAACCTCTTTTGTGATAGATACATTTTCATTACTTCAGTAAATCAACACCAAATTAAAGTCCATTTGTGCCATAGAATCCAAGATGCCAAGCAGCTCTTACTGTATCTCATCCAGACCCGTCAGCCTCAAAACAACAATTGATGCATTACACGATTAGCAAGAGAACCAAGGAGTCCCCTAAACTGTACTTCTAAACGGTTTTATTTACAGTTTAAATTGCATCAAAATGTATTTCAATGGGAATTTTTAACCATGTAGATCCTCTTAAATTCAATTTAATTTCCAAAGAGTGAAACCTCTATCATGAGCTCCTTATTGTTTTTGTGCCCCTTGCTGCAGAACAACTTCACACCAAAAATGATTCCAGATCTAATAGACTTTCATTAAACTGAACAGGAGCACTGAGGCTCTATACTTAAATATCTGGATGTTTGCGTAAAAAGCTTTTTCATTTAAAACCATCCGTCATCTCTTTTTTTTCTCCTTTTTTCCGTGATTCGTTTGACTGGTGTTTGGACAGAAGCACTTACGTGAAGGATTTGTCTCTTCATGGGCAACTCTTGAATTTCCAACCACAACCGTAAAGTCTATCGGCTCCAGGCATTTTCCTCTGCAGTTGGCTTTGGGAACCCTAGCATTTTCAAAGCAGTAACATCAGAAGATAATTTAACGCCACCTTGTGAATTGAGAAAAAAGAAGATGCATGAAATCTAACTAAAACAATGAAGTGAATTATGAGTTCACACAATATGACATCACCAAAGAGACTTCTGGAGAGTCATATGAAGCAAAGGAGCTTATGTAACTGGATGACAAGCAATGGCAATTGAAAATGTGACTGAAGTTCTGCTGGTGATAGTTTGTTGGGTGATGATGTTTTACCAATTCCTAGAAGTTGCTGTCACAAAAAATATAATGTGATGTGAAAATGGGTTAGCAATGATGGAAAGAAAGAAACAAGTCAGCCAAAGCTGGAAATTCAGAGCAAATTCAGACCTATTGTGAGTAGTTGTTGTACAGAAGTCATCTAAAACCAGAGATTGTTTTGTGAAATTATCCACCGCCTTCATAAGAGACCAATTATAGGAATTTGAGGCATTAACTTACATTTACTTATTGCTCACAATCTTAATATTTCTTAAAATCTTTGTCTGATGATGGAGCTCTTAAGGTCCAAAAAGTCTGAATGGGTGAAAGTTTTTTTTTTTAGAGCATTGATGTGTGCTGATGTTATTTACATCAACATTTCTGGTGACATATAATAACTGATATTACAAAAGCAGCAGACTCACTCTTACAGCAGGTGTCCCATTTCAAGGTCTCAAGGTCTGCGTTTAAAAAAAAAGTCGTAGGTTTTCTTGCTGTCAATCCAGGTGGTGCACAGATTTGTATGTCTGATCTTAGAGTATGAAATAAGAATTGTCACCCTGTTCTCACCTGGAGTTACTCCCAATTCCGGGTTTAGGAATTTATTTATTTTTTCTCAGACAGGTAGGTGTTTGAATTGTTTCTAGTTCCCCAGATATGGATATTTTGTTTTATATCGAAGTGAGTTCTCTCTCGATGGCATCTTTCTGAATCTCTGTTGGCCAGCTCCCTTTAAGTTCCATTGATTTTGTCCTCCATCTTTCATGTCCATGGGGGGGCACTCCCCCATGAGCAGTTTGTCTTGCGGCCCTGCACCATCTGCCTTTTGCTGTCTGTGATAGTCCTAGTCGGTAAAGTGTGTTGGTACAGTTTGTGCGTCATACAGAATACAGAATTGGGCTGACTTTCAAAGTTTCTCTGAAGGCTCTATGGGAGACTTCAAGTATCAATATGATGATGGCGGGGATGTTCCTTTATCCTGGCTCTACTTTGCATGTTCAATATCATATTGTCTTGTGCTTTTTTGTGATAAAAATTGGGGAAAATGACAAACAAATTATCAAATTTTTATATCAATTAGTTTTTAACATAGGAAATAAAATTATTTCTGTATATGTAAATCATCTTATAAGAGTGGAAAGCAGTGAAAAGCAATGCTTCAAAACTGGATTGTAAAAGTGTGGAAAACATATGGAAACAAGCTGCCTCTTGCCATAAAGGAGGAACATTCATTTAAGACGGCTTGAAAAGTTGAGGTTAACATGCTTTTTTGATGAACATAAACTGTCAGAGGGTGAAACCAAGACAGATTAGACATGGAAAAATGATGATCTTGGACTCTCCGATATTAATGATGTTGAGGGAAAAACTTGGCAGAAAATGTTGTAAATCATTTTATGCCGTCAGACTTGGTTGTAGGTGATGAAGGATAGGAGGAAGTTAGATACAAGCCTGCTAAAGTGTAATGCTGTCATTAAAAATTACTCTGTGGAGAAAAGACATACTCATGGCCAGACCATTTCATTATGTTTTTCATAGGATAGTAAAAAAGGAATATACACGAGCCAGATTAGTGAGAATATTTTCAGGAGACTCACGGCAAGTGGACAGATGTTTGTTGTTTGTTTTGTCACGTAGCTGATAAGGTACTGGGAATGTAGTCATAAAATCGATATAAATCTTCTATGCCTTTGGTGTCTGCTAAGGTTGCGGACACTGAACACATAAAAAACACTGGCAGAGCGATGATCTTATGCTTCTAGAAAATAGCTGGTAATTGTATCCAGAATTATCCAAACAAATTAGTTTGGGCTCAGCTTCATGCAGCTACTGACAGCCATGCAGCATGTATATCCCATCCACATGACTGATTCCAGTTGCTCAGCAGTTCTCCATGCCGTTCCCACACTTATTGGGCTTTGAGCTGACAGATCTAATTAGTAAGAAGGTTCAGATCCAAGCCTTTAACAAAATAAGATGTGAGAGACCAGCACATTAATACTTTTGGCTCCCGTTGCTAATTACTTGGCACATGAAACTGTCATGGTATTTTCCTCTGTATCATCTTATGTCATGAGGTGCCTGTACTAATTTGGTCAGTGCACATAGCTCAACGGGACTACAGTACAATGCTTCGCATCACAGTGTCACTTTCAATAAAGCTGTTAACTCTTAAAAGAGGGGATGGTGTCAATGACTCCTGAGATAAGTACAGTACAGCCCAATGTCTTCTGAAGTTTGGGAGACTGAGATCTCCCATCCTACAATCTCACTACAGCATTGAGCTCAAATAGTTGCAACTTAAGGTTAGTTTTTTTGGATGTCTGCTTCAAAGATTTGAAAGAATAAGACTTTCTGTGTTGGGTGAGGAAGAGTAACTTGCATGACAGGTGCCTGCAGGGATGATACTCTGTCCTGAAAGAAAATGAAGCAAGCCATTTGATAATTACCCCAACCCAACTCCCATCACACTTTGGATGACACGTGACTCACTCTACCTCATAAGACACATTAGTAATCCTCCTGTTTAGTTTAGATGGCCTGTTTCTTAAAGCATTGTTTTTGCTTTATGATAAATGTCATTATTGAATATTATTGAATAATAAGAAACACATCTTTGACAGTTTAAAGTGTTGCCTTTGCAGTTCATATTCAGCAGCTGGTGAAATTTTTTTATTAATTTCATGCCATCATCCATTTTCGAGCACTCGCATTCTTTAGATATGGTTTACCACTGAGACTGATCAGAAACCTTAAAAGCCTCAGTCATCATTGTACAATGTATGCTCAAGTTGGATCCCCTGTGCCATCAAGCACCGGAGTGTACAAA